AACAATAATTTGGTACATTCTTCTATTCAATAAATACTTTTTTTTGCCAATTTTGTTTTGTTTACAACTTGATACTTTTGATTTTTAAAAAGTTTCTAATTCTCCAAAAAAGATTTGGTAAATCATTTATTAAAGCTATAAGCAACAATAAAAGCTCAATTAAAAAAAACTCAAGAATGTCAAAAGATCAATACAAATTCCTATTGTAATGAACAACCACAATTCATTATATATGACAAGTTATGGCTATTTTGTTGTAATATCAAGATTACTTGTCTTTGTAATAAGTTGGACTATTGTAGGCTTAGACCTTTTTCTATTTGTAAAAAAATCAATTCTATTACTTATTGATTATATCTACCAAAATCTATGAAGATCCATCTTATATTCTATAAATCTCTTCTTGAACCATATAAGATAATAAAAAATTTGAAAAGAAGACAAATGACATCCCCTCTTATAAAATTAGATAATAATCAAGAGTTTGATGTAGAAGAAGTCTTAATTTTAAGGTAGTGCTAAAATAGATTAAAATATCTTGTTTATTGGTGAGGATATAATATTAGTGAATCTACATAGAAGCCAACAAATAATCTTACAAATGTAATAAAAAAGGTTGAAGCTTTTCATTCACGATATCTATCCAAATTAAGATAAAAAATAATAAATCTTTGCTATAAAAGAAACAAGATTTTGAGAAGACAACATTCTATTTTCTACTCTTGTTTATAAATTTTTTGTATTTGAACCACTAAAGAGATAAAGAATTAACAACCAACACATTCAATTCAAGAACTATTACTTATTGATTTATTAGACAAGATATTATAATTGTCACAACCTTCAAGATAATATAATCAATATAAAGATCTTCAAAAATGACATGTCCTTCTTCAAATAGATAGCAAGCTATAATGTGTTTGGTATCACAACCTTAAAAGAGACTTTCAATGTTTGATGATTTTATTAGAGGTAGAAATGATTCTTGACAATATTCTAAATATTTTATTTGAATGGAGTTACAAAGGCCTCAACAATAATCAAATAACAAGGTGGTCTTCTTGCCTTGGTATAGAACTTTATCAATGGTTGAGAGGACCTAACAAAAAATTTTAAAGAGAACAAAGATTAGAGTATGTGATAAATATAATTCACCACATCTTGGATTTCTTCAATATATGATGACCACTCCTTGTAGAACTTGTCCCTAGCAGGGAAAAAATTATCACAAATATATATACTTACTCTAATATTTACTCATATGATTAAATAGAAGTATATAAAAAGAAATTTATTTCATAATATTTTTTGTAGAAGCTTCCTAAAAGCTTCATAGATGTTGTTTTGACTTTATATGTATTTGTAGTTGATTGGTAGATTAGAAACTTAATCAATAAGTTAATAAAATGTTGATAGCTTGTGGAATAAACTAATTATGTGGCACACATATAGAAAACTTGCTTTGTAAGTTAATATACATGTTTTGCAAAGTCAACACATTTTAAAGGTCTTATAGGATATTACCACATAGCTTCTAGTTAAGAGTATATATGGATGTAAGATTGAAGCCTTCTTTACTCTTGTTAATGTCTTTTTAGTCTTTCGTCTTATTTTAAGATTTCTTAATCTTCTTTTCTTTGGCAATAATCATTCTAGTTTAATATTATATCATCTTTCAGTGATTTTTTTAGTCTTTTTGAATGACACAAGAGTGTTTTAATAATTTAATTCTTTGAGGTTAATATTATTGATACTAAAAGAAGCAACTCTTTGATCAAGAAAATTTAAAAAACACCCTTGCAGCTTATTTTGAGATTAAAATGGCACGCACATTCACAATCAATTGAGCTATTATAGATATGGTTATTAATAATATATTATTTAATGTAAATGATATGGAATCTATATAGAATTGTGAATAGCTATTGTTAATTTTTAAGTTGTTTGAAGATGCAAATAATAACAAAATTGAGCTGAATAGAGAATACAATTTGAATTGTAAAGTAAACAAGATAGAAATAAATATTTTGCAAGTGTTTTGTCTTGTGATTACTTTCCTTTCATATAAAATCTTATTTCAAATGGTAGCATGTTGCATGGATGTCACAAAGACCATGTTGCAAATGGGATGCTTTAGTAAATGCAATGACGATTGTATAACTTTATTCATAAGGGTGGTTTATGATGCAAGCTTATAAAATTTCATCAAATTCCTCTACATGTAGCAGTGCCATGATATAATACAATTATATGGTGAAAATATAATCAAAAATAAATTTTTAATTAATATCTAATTATCTTGATTTAATAATAATTCAAGATATTTAAACATGGCTTTTATAAAAGTCTTTTAGTTTATTTTCTTATCTTAATAGTAAGTAGATTAAAGGTTGGTTAGTAATTTTACCTTCTAGGCTATAGAGATTCTTTTACTATCTTAGAAAGATCATAAATTGGATAAAATCAAGTTAAAAGAAGTGTATAATTAGCATGATTGATACTAAGATTAAATTGAAGGTAGGATTAGGCTAAAAAATCCCTAACATAGGTTAGATTGATATTTGGAGGTTGATTGTTTGTGAAACAAGGTCAAAATCAAACCTCCAACCACTAAAATAATGACCTAGGAAAAAATGGGATTTTATTCAAAGATCAGCAATAAGGGTTTGAGAGTTAGTATGGAACTTGTTCTAAAGACATATCAAAAGTTGGCAGTTTAGGGTTGGATAGAATTTCTATGAAATCTGAAGATCTATGAGTTGAATTAAGGTGAAATTTGGCATGGTATTAAAGACTTAAATATCAAGCTATACACCAATTTTGAATTGAAGTTAATAATTAGACAAGGAAAAATCACTGCTAGAATGTTTGCATCAACTTTTAAGTTGGCGGCCAAATAACATGAGTGTGGTTTTTGGGCATTTTTTTGCGATTTGTACGTTGAATTGGAGTGAATTCTTTTAAAGCACATAGAAGCCTTATAGTGGCATTTGTATGCAAAATTTTGCTCTAAGTGGATAGTTAGATTACAATCCAAAACTTACTAAAGCATATTGATTTAAATTAAGGTTAACATAGAAAATTCAAAATTACTTAATTATAAAAGTAACAAGGTAATTGGAGTTTATGTATGGTTGAAATTACTAAGAAGACTGTTCTTAAGCACTTTATATTGGATTTAAGCACTTTTGAATTAAAATTCAAATTGCATTATTCTTATAAGAGTGAAACATATTAGGATTCTTGAATACTTGTAAAATACAATCCCACCTTTCATAGCCAGATAACCGCTACATTTCAAAATAAGATGATACGCAATATGATAGCAGTTGTTTTTGCTTGCTCTTGATGTCGGCTCAAAACAAGGTACCTCATACCTTGACTTTTAAGTTCAATTTGAGCATCAATTGAAGCTGTACAATCTCTACCTTCTTTTCATTTTTCTTTTTGATCGTAAGATAGTCAAAGTAATCTTTGTTGCAAGTGTGAAACTTTTGAATGTCGTTGTATAAAAATAAAAGATGCAATTACTTATAATTAGATTAGATGGCAAAAAAATGATGACTTAAGGGATTTATGGCATTGTAATGAAGATGATCAAGGTGGCTACTATTAGAATTGTATGAGAACAGTGTATTCTATACTAACTTGATCTTGTGGTTCAAGCCAAATATGTCAAGCTGTATGTAATAGGGTATAAATAAGATAATTATATAGATAGTTAGAACCATGGAAGTTTCTAGAATTGGGGTTAGGTTAGTAGACTAGGTAGGATCTACTATGGAACATTCTAAAAAGAATTTAGGATGGTTATTTAGGTAGAGCTCATTATAAAACCTTCTAGAAAAGGAGTTTAAGGCAATTATCTACATAAGGCCCACTATTTAGAAACATTCTAGAAAGTCGAGGGTGTTAGGACAAGGTATAAATAGGATTGGCGAAGGTCTTTTGGGGCATCTGGTCAGGTATGGCTTTAGATCTTTTTTCTTAGTAAAGTTTGGTTTTGCATCCTCTTATTTAATTTTGTTTTATTTTGTTTCCATTTGCTCAGTATGTCTAAGACTAAACATCTTTTTAAATCAACAAAAGTTTGGCTGGAAGGCTTGATTCAATCTTTGGTGGATTTATGAAAAGTGCAAGATCCACATAGTGTGGAGATTTTTGCCATGGCTTATGGCGCCATAAATTTGGTCATCCGCAGATCTTGATGTATGGCTATCATAAATACAAAGGCTTTCATTCAAGATCAAAATACCTTCGTGATGAATCTCATGGCATTATTACCTACAAGTAAGGTCATAGTTTGTAACATGGCGGCTTTGTTTGTTGGACTTGTTGACGGCATTGCCTCCATTGTTGTCCAACATACTTGCAATAACAATGTCAGCAATAAAGACATTTTGAAAGTGGTGCCTCACATTGTGTATGCACTATAGATGTCTCCTTGATTGGATAAAAGAAGAACAAGTGTTGGCAGCGCATCATAGACTTCTTACTTAAGTACTTATTCAATATCATAGACTTCTTACTTAAGTGTAACAATTCAATAGAATTTTTCAAATTTGACAAAGATAGATGCTTTTAGATAGCTCTATAGATGAATTTCATCCATTCTTAGTTTAAATAAAATAAAACCTCGCCACAACCCTAAAATATGCTAAATTAGGTATTATAGGGAAAGCCCTAGTTTAAAGAGGCCTGATTATCACTCCATGGCAAACTTCATTGTAGATAAACTCTGAGAAAAAATATCAAAGGAGTAACATGGAAGAATGAAAGGGAAATGGTGTAGAACCCATGCACAAGTGTGCAATTAATTGAGTGCGCCTGATTCCGCTTGACCGTACAAGTGTTCGTCCAGGAGTACGTGCCTTAATTCCAACTGGCATTCCCGGAAATGTGGAACAGGCGCATGCGTTAGGCGTGGACCGGATCTAGGCAAATCCTCTCTACTATACCCTGATCCGCGGTGAATGTACCCAGATAGGTTGTCTCGAGACCCGGACTCTGTCGTCAGACGGTGCGTCACCCTGTCACCGATTCTGAAGCATGGGCGTTTCGTTGCTGCTCCTGCTGCGTGTGCGTCGTGGATCGTTGCTTCGGGATTCCCTTGCGGCGTGTATTGAGTTGCAAAGAATTGAGAGTTGCGTGGGCTGCTATGGCGGGGGCGAACATGGCTTCGAAGCTGCCAGGGTTGGATCCGTGTGTCTGGAAGGCGGGGGATTTCAAGGGGGGGTTTGCGTTGCCCCGTGTTGGCAAGTTAGGACCTCGCAGGAGTGGGAGGAGGAGCATCGTAACGGAGTTGGTGGTGGTGCGAGCTGTGAAAACGGGCCAGGACGTGCCAGGCGTGGCGAAGGAATGGAGCCCCGCGAGCTGGACGAAGAGGAAGGCGCTGCAGCAGCCTTCGTATCCCGATCCGCAGAAGGTAGCGGAGGTTGTGAAGCAGATGCAAGGATACCCGCCGCTCGTGTTCGCGGGCGAGGCCCGCAGTCTGGAGGCGCGCCTCGGGGAAGCTGCGCTCGGAAGGGCCTTCTTGCTGCAGGGCGGTGACTGCGCTGAGAGCTTCAAGGAATTTAACGCCAATAATATTAGGGATACCTTCCGGTTGCTGCTTCAGATGAGCGTTGTTCTCATGTTTGGAGGTCAGGTGCCTGTGGTGAAGGTACGGGTTCCAAGCTCTCGTGTATGTTTCACTCAATTAGATTGGACTTTTAGGGACGGTCAATCTTCTCGTGCACGTGTTGAGGAGTTCTTGTCTCGGAATTGGCAGGGTTGCGTTAAGTTGCCAGTGTTGTGCCTTCACGATGATCGTGTTGACTGTGGCTTGCGTGCTAATTGGGGAATTGGAGCTTAGAACGCACGACTAGGCGTACAGAATAGCAAGTAATTGTGATTTGAAACATTTCCTAGCAACTCTGAAATGAGATAAAGTTCGGGCATGGGACCAGGTTGGGAGAATGGCAGGGCAGTTTGCTAAGCCCAGGTCATCTGATTTCGAAGATGTAAATGGGGTATCGTTGCCGAGTTACAGAGGGGATAATATTAACGGCGATGCACCAGATTACGATGCTAGAGTGCCTGATCCAGCGCGAATGCTTCGTGCGTACAGCCAGTCCGCTTCAACCCTGAATCTTCTTCGTGCTTTCGCCACCGGGGGATTCGCTGCCATGCAGAGGATCAAGCACTGGAACCTCGACTTTGCATCACGCAGTGAACAAGGCGACAGGTGAATGAGTACCCTCTTCAAATCTTCTATTTCCTTTTTGTCTCTTTTTTGAGGTTGATTGTAAATTGAGTTGTCTTGTTTAGATTATGCTTGTGAACTAGCTATGTCGTTCATCTTCTCTGGCACTTAGGTGGTGAGAAAGACAGAGCCTTCAGGAGGAAATCATTCGGGTGCAGGTATCGAGAGCTGGCGAATCGGGTGGATGAAGCCCTAGGGTTTATGACTGCATGTGGATTGCATCTGGATCATCCGGTGATGACTACTACCGAATTTTGGACCTCTCACGAATGCTTGCTGCTTCCATACGAGCAGGCAATGACCCGAGAGGATTCCACTTCGAGGCTTTGGTATGATTGCTCAGCACATTTTCTGTGGATGGGTGAGCGAACACGACAGTTAGACGGTGCGCACATTGAGTTTCTACGAGGGGTTGGGAATCCCTTGGGAGTGAAGGTAATTGAGGTTTTCCTTATTAATTTACATTCCTTTCTTGGGCATATATGTTTGAGTATCAGTCTTTGAATGTGAAAATACTGAAAACTCAAAAGTTGCTGCAATCATAATTTTGGGGTCTCTCTTCTTGGAGCCATTATATGTGTAATAGCTTTTCTAATGGCGCTGTCCTTTAGCTTCACTTAGATTTGTGTTAATCCTTTGCATTTCCTCTATTATGCAGGTAAGTGACAAAATGGACCCAGGAGAATTAGTAAAACTATGTGAGATTTTAAATCCACAGAACAAACCAGGTCGGCTAACGGTCATTGTACGAATGGGAGCCGAGAAACTACGACAGAAGCTGCCTGCTTTGATTCGAGCTGTGCGCCAGGCAGGCATTATTGTGACATGGGTCAGCGACCCTATGCATGGAAATACTATAAAGGCACCTTCGGGACTCAAAACCCGTCCCTTCGATGCCATTTTGGTGGGTGCCAAATCGAGTCTCAATGATCATACCTATTTTTCTTATTGTTGGTTCTATGAGAGTTAATGATGGACTTGTTTTGATTACTTCATTCGCCAATTTTGGTCCATTTTGATGCTATAGCCTGTCGTCTGGCACATTCTTTTTGGGGGGTGTCCAGTATGCTCACATGTCGATTATTGGATTCGTTTACTCAGGAAGAAGTGAAGGCCTTCTTTGATGTGCACGACCAAGAAGGCACGCATGCAGGAGGAGTCCATCTGGAAATGACAGGCCAAAATGTCACGGAATGTGTGGGAGGCGGCCGCACTGTTACCTTTGACGATCTAAGCTCCCGCTACCACACACATTGTGACCCCAGATTGAACGCTTCTCAATCTCTGGAGTTGGCCTTCATCATTGCTGAGCGTCTCCGCAAGAGACGCATAGCTCCCGTTATGGACAAGGAGATTTTATCATTGAGCAGTGGGAAAGGAATCGTCCTATAAAAGCATGATCGCGTATGGTTCCTTTTATGTACATATGGATACTTTTGTGTCTTATTTTATAGGGATGCACTGCAGCAGTGGCTGTTACGTCCAATACTTCAACCTTTTTCCAGGAGAGTTGTTAAATGGATACGTTGTTGATCGAACTTGGGAGTTTTCAACGTTTCCGTAGAGGTTTTGTAGCAGTTCAGTGAGTTCTTTTGTCGGGTCCAGCTTTGAACAGCTGGTCGGAGGAGTTTATCTTCGATCTTGTCATGCACGATATTGTTCGTAGGGCTTCAGTCTCTCATTCGCAATTCATTTACGGTATGAAATTAGTAGCGCGTATATATAATGCCAGACTAAGTTGTCCAAGAACTGCTGGTATTTAAGCTTTGAATCTTTAGTGCGTTTATAACTCTTTGAGGAATAGTTATTTGGGAGGTCTGTGGATTAGATGTTAGTGGAGGCATAGCGAGGAATAGTACATGCTTACAGATCATAGCATGATGAACAGAAGACGGAAACATTAAAATGCAGTGCAGCAGGGATAGTGTACAGCACTGGCAAATGTTGTTGCTCAAGTTTACAAAAAATTGAATTTCAAGTTGAAACTAGAACATTGTACAGAGTTAGTGTGATTGTGCTCACAGGCTAAAATTTCGAAGGTCGGACTGAGCCCCAAACAAATTCTCCACCTGCAGCAACGGCGAATGCTTTGTTGAAACTAGTGAATTCGAACTCGAAAATGCATCGATCATGGCAAGAAAATACAATCTGCGAAGCCGTGCAAGGTAAACCACTTGGAGGCGGAAAAAATCATGCCAGATGAAATAACCATGATGCCATCTTAGTCGTTTGCTGTGAAATCCTCGAAAGTTGCGTTTTGCCCAGAAGGTGTATTTGATTCGGCTGCCTGGGACGCTGTCAATCAATTCTTCATAAATTGTAGGGCTCTCATTGGTGAAGTTATTCACAAGTAGACCTTGTACCTCTTAAGGTCCTCATTGTTGCACTAACTTTGCAATGGACCCCCTTAACAAATTTGGCTGTGATGAGGCGTGGGTTCGTATGATGAAGCATTGGCCTTCAGTTGCAGCGGTTTGGAGCAACTCTTGGCATATTTCTGGAACCTCGAGGGAGCCTAAAATCAGAGCTCCCAGAGCCGGTGACAACAGGCAGGACTTCAAAAGAGGATTGATCTGGAGGTCTCGTCAAAGGCAGATGATTCCTCGCATCATACTCTGACATTGCCTGCAAGTGTGGATGTTCAGAGTCGGGCCGGATTACAAATTGCTTGAAGGTGTAGTCTAAGGATGAGGTTGTAGACAGAGAACTTCTCGAATTGCTTCTAGAATACCTCGCACGTGGAGGAGTGAAGTAACTTGAGCTGCTCGACAACTCTTTGCCACGACTGCGTCTCAATGTTGACTGAAAGGCTGCTGGAGCCACTGCAGCATCTGTAGACGTCTCCAGCCTATCACCAGCTTCAGTTGAAGAGAAATTATTCGTGTTAAAGGAGAATGAGTCCACCCCCTTGTCATCCGCTGAAGAGCTGCTGCTGAGTTGCCGCTTCTCCACTGGAATTTCTGTTCCAAACGTGAAGCTTATGTCAATGGCATTTTCATCCAGGTCTGCATCGTCCCAATCTTCCACATGTCCACCGTTATTGTATTTCAACAGCGGAGACTCCCCAGCAGCACTGAACCCATCCGAAGAGTTGAGATCAATCTCAAATCTTTCCGAAGGGCTGGAGCTTTGCATTGTAGCAGTTCGTGGAAGGGGAACTGGTGGATTAGTTAAAACCCATGAAGGCGTCCCAGTGACCGACGTTGGGCTTTTTGGCAATGAAGGGCTCCTGCAATGGAGGGTTTCTACTAGAATGTCAACGCGGTGATCGCGAGGACTGCTGGCGTTCAAATTTTCCGATGCTTTGGGACTGTCCATAAGGGTGACGCCGCAAACAGGGCACGTGGTCTGTTTCTCAAGCAGTGGATCAACGCAGCGCCTGTGAAAAACATGGTTGCAGCACGGGAGCCGCCGCAATGTGTGTGTGTCTCTACACTTCAGCCAGCATATTGGACAACTGCTACACAAACAGATAATCTCAAGTCAAATTTTCAAGTCCTGGCCTGATTTATTTATTTATTTATTTATTTATTTATTTATTCCCCCTAATGGTACACATCGAGGATTGATTATTTTAATTTGAAACTCAGAGACTGTTTACACATGCACCATAATTGTTTTCTCAAGGGGTAGGCCGAAACGTAGAAAGCAAAATAACCACATGGGATTTCAATGCTCACTGTAGCTTGGAGCCGGTGTCAACATCGAGATTGCGAGTCTTAATGATTGGAAATGTTCTCACAACATCTTTCTTCAACCCATCCCGGCTCTCAGCCTGCAACATGCCTCAACATCAACCATCAAAATATAAGATAAGAAGAAACAGGAAAGTCTTGAGAGATATAAGCCTAATAAATGCGGTAACGACCCAATGACAGACAGGTCTTCTTTGTCAAAGTGTACAGCAAAGATTTTGAGCACTTAATTGCAACGCCATGGCCGGACGATGAATCTAACAGAGGTGGTTCATGTCCTGGAGAGGACAGTTTACATTGGCTACAGGCATATTCACGAAGAGATACTACTGCAAACCCAGTTGCAGTATTTCATCCCAGATAAGCAACCTCACTGATGTCCAGAAACTGTAAACAGGACGTCATCTTTAAAGGGTTCGGTAACAGTGTAATGTTTCCACGGCCAGAAAGAACATGCAAGAGAAGGAATTTAACACTCACAAGAACCTCCTCTGATGTGGCAGAAATCTGCCCGACCTTAACCGCGCACAGCTGTAGCTTGCAAAGAACCCATGTCACAAAGCAAACGACTAGGAAGGCAGTTAGTCCTAGCCCAACGGCAAGCGGTACTGTGAGTTCCCCCATAATCTACGATCTTGCAGAATCCTACAACTGCGTTCCTCTTTGTGAGAGGATTTCTACTGCGCAAGAACGGCAGCACGTAGAGAAGCATGCGCTTCAACTATTAATTCGAAAGATCTGCATCGTGCCAAAGGCGCTATCAGACAATCAAAATGTACCGACAAGTCATTCTTTTCGTTTGACTGGTTTGAATCATCTCCTGCTCCTATAAACTTTGATCACTTCCATGTTTGTACCTCCCCGACGACGTTTCTGAGTAAAACTGTGAATTAGGAACTCGCTTGATAAGAGCCGAACTACCATATCAGAGTCGTAACCGCCTTCTCTGGAGCCATGCTCCAGGAACTAAGGAACTAGGCAAGAACTTAGTGATTAGTGATCAAGCCCTGGTGCAGCCAAGGCATCGTTACTTGCATAGCTGACAATGAAACTCGTTTCAACCTTTCCTTTCTGTCTAGGGGAACTTGCTCTGCCGGTTGGATACCGAATTCCCGAAAACATTTCAAAGTCTCAAGGAAACCTTTGACACAGCAGCCAACTGACCGCCCCTAGCGCTCAAGACTCGATCAAACAACGTCAATTTTTATAGGCCTCCATGTTATAGAACCTGTCCAGTCGCTGAACAAGGCACAAAAGGTCACTTACTCTATCTTTCTCTGAACACTCTTCCCGACACTCCCACCAATTCCAGAACCCAAGCCTCCTGGCGTGGCCTGCCTAGGAAGACGCAAATTTGAAACGCGGCAACGCAATCCCCCTCCCAAAAAGCAAAGTCCAGTTGTCACTTTCTGAACACTGGCGAAGCGTCCAGCCACCCTCTACGACTCGTCTTCCCAATTTGAGTCCTCGCTCACAGCGAGTGATCGCGCCAAACCACCCGTTCACTACGGACACCACCTCGTCCTTAGACCCGGGGGCAAGTAACGCATCGTGAGAACCGACGCCTCCTCTCACTCACATCAAGCGCCGGGTACTCACCACACAGCACTTCCCACTTCTCTTTGTTGAGAGGCGACGACGACTGCGGACACCCCAAGACATTATACTTATGACAATTAGTCACGATCTATGGCTGTAGAAAAACAAACTGGGGGACGAGAAAAAGAAAAAATAATATAAAAAATAATCATAATAACAGAAGCCAAAGCGGAAGGAAAGAAAGATGAAGCTGAGCTATAAGGGGGTAAAACAAGAGTCCCCAATTGTGCGAGACTGTCGTCGTGCATGGCAAGAGATCTGAGAAGTGAAAAAGATGATGGGTGATGTGCGTGTGCTGCTGCTGCTGCTGCAGAAGAAGAAGTCCATAGCAGCCACACAACGACGACGACGACACTGAATTTCTACGCGACGCCGGAGTCTGCCTGCTGACAGCCGTATTCTCTCTCTCTGTCTTCGTTCCTTGGGTCTTCGTCGTCCTCTTCGTCCTATTCGTCGTGTTCCTTGTCGCCTTCGTCGTCGCCGTCGTTATCGTCCTCTTCGTCTACCTGGGTCGCCATCTTCGTCGCCTCTCTCGTCGCGTTCGTCGTCGTCGTCTTTCGTTAACTGTTGATTAGTTGTTGCTTGGGGCTCTCTCTGTTTCATGCCCATTTCTTGTCTGTGCAGTTTCCTCGTGATTGAGCTGTGTTTTTTTTTTTTTTTTTTTTTTTTTAATACTTTGGTTCCAGCAAGAAAGCTCGTGTTTCGTTTCATGGAAAATAAAGCGCTAAATTTAATAAACTAAAATATTAAAATCGGTGCTAAAGAGTTCTAATATTGTTGCAGAGTTGATGTGAGAATGATGTCTCGTGAGCAGTGATATAGCTATTGAATTAATATTTATTAATTGACTAGCGTTAGTTGAAGTTAGAGATGTCCAACACACTCTCATTTTATAAAACATGGTGCTTTTTTTTCTTTTTCTTTTTTTTTTGAAGAAATGTTTACGTTTTAATTTTTTAATTTTTTTTCAAAGATGTTCGTTTATGCCTCTAATTATTGCAGATTGTATTCACTTTCCAAGGGATACTCCGTGTTCACGTTCCACTGTCACAAAGACTCATACCGTTACTAATCTACCTTCATATTTGATTTTATTTTTATACCAATTTCAATGTAATTTGATCAACTTCATTGTAATTCTTGGATTGATGATTTGGATTCACTGATTTAAATCATTATTCCTCTACTAAAATTAAAAACAACAACATACTCCCAGTTATTCATGCTGCATTCTTGATGCATATATCATCTTTTGTAGAAGTGATTTGACTTGCTTTCAAATAAAAAAATTAAAAATATATACTCATTAGGAGGCCGCTCTCAGTGCATGCAAAATGACGTCAAACCCTATCATGGCTACCAATTTTTTTACTATTTAATTCAATAAAAAAAACTAAGTCACAAATTTAATAAGAAAAACAAACAAATCATCAAACAAATTATAACTTTGAGAGTAAGTGCACATGAGACCATTACTTGATTTGGTATTAACATTTTTCACATTTTTTCTTTTTCTTTTTTTCAATCCTTGTGAGGCTGAATTGGGTTCTGTCACACCAAACACAGTAGCTGTCTGCTAATACAATATGTGCACAAGAGGCCATTCCTTAATTTGGTATTATCACTACTTTCACATCTATTTTTGTGGGGTTTTTTCAATCCTGGTGCAGCTGAATTGGGCACCTTCACTACATATGGCTATAGCTGTCGTCTTACTCATATATATATATATATATATATATATGTGTGTGTGTGTGTGGGTGTGTGTGTGCAGTCACAATAAACAAACATATATCCAAATGCATCTGAGTGATGTTGTAATTAATATTTGAGTCCCCAAGTTTCTTTCTCTCTCTCTCTCTCGCTCTCAGCTCTGCTTTGCCCCCAACCCCATCACCACTCCCCTCCCCCCCCCCCCCCATCCCCACACTTGCCGTGATTGAATTATCCCATAACTGTGTGACATTTCTAAACTATATAATATTATAGTAATTTTGATGAGAAGTCTAATTTTGATACTATTCCATCTCAAGCTATGATTGGTGTTATTTTAAATATTTATGAAAGGAATTTTCTTTTTCTTTCTTTTCTTTTCTTTTCTTTTCTTTGGAGTGTGGTTGCATGGGACATTTGCAAGATTCTTAACTCCAATTCCATAGATTTAATAACAAGATTTCAATTTTCACATGTGGATTAAGATTTTATCAAAATAAATAAATATTTCTTCAGATTCCAATTGATGACATCTACAGTTTTTACTTGAAATTAAATATTTACAAGTTTCTTTCAAGAAAATAGATTCTAGTTGTTGGATCTAATAATTAAATTCCTTTAAAAATTTTCGACATGAATGATCAATAAAACATCTATGAGTTTTATTCAATTTTGTGGATTTAAATATGAAGATTAAATTTGCATTTTGATGAATTTCCACTACCTAAAACATCAAAGAATGTAATTTTCATGCATTGCAGTATTTGATTTGTCATTCAAAATTTATATGTATATGCTTAAGACACTGTTCTTTGTAACTATCTACAATGTTGCATTAAATCATCAAATACCCATATTCACAATACTACATCCATTCAAGAACCAAACTATCTCAGAAACACAAACAGATGCAATGAAACATTTTATCCTCCATAGAAACATTGTTTTTTCAGCATTTTTACGAATTTCAAGGAGTAGTTTGGATGTGCACTGGGAGGGTCAGACCCAGGTGTCAGATTACACAGCCAGTGCGAAAACATGGCAACCCCCAAATGAAGCCATTCCCTGCTACTGCTTGAGGGTGATCCAGCTTCCCATGGTGAGCTGAATGCAAAACCCTAATTACAACCCTAATTACAACCCTAATTACAAACCAAATCCACTGTGATAAGGTTGATTTGGCATTAAGGTATTGCAGTAAATAATTGGAGTCAGAAATTGAACAATGATATAAATGGTTCTTGCCTCCAATGCTCCCCTTACTTCCAAATTGGTTTTACATCAATTTTGAAAATGCAAGGCTATGCAAATTATCTGAAAATAGGGAACTATTATCAATCCATTCAGCTGGGGCTAATGACTGGGCCGCTGTGGAACTTGTTCTGAGGCCGGGCCAGCTTGGTTGACTGTTGGCCATGCTCTTCGGTAAACCCTAATTCTTTCGGAAAAAACCGCCCAACAATGAGCATAAAAAATAATAATAAAAATAAATGTAGGGATAGTTAGAATCCTGGAGAGCTCAGGCTGTGCACCTGTGTCAGATGGAATGTTCTTACTTGATTTAACCAAAACGTTGCTTCACAAACTCTCCGGTTGAAGGTTTGCAGAGCCATTGACCTTGCAAATCTATTGAGCTAGCATGGTTGTTTTTTTACTTTCTGTTGGGTTTTAAAAAACAACTATGAATGACATGTGATGTTAACTTTGCATTTTCCTAAAAAATTGGTTTTTGTACTTGACAAGCCATTTTAGCAACCTATGTGTGTGAGTGCTTTTGCTTGTGATTTGATAGTTTTGAAAAAATTAATTTCATTTGATATAACAGTACACAAATAAATTTCATCATTATGATTCTTCAGGTTGAAAACAACCAGTTTTATATTGACTAACTTGAGTCAATATTCATAAACCAAGCAATTTTATATACAACTTGTTTATTTAGCTAGTTCAACTCTACCCAATTAAATCCACCCAATTAACTCTACCCAATGTATGTATAGAAAATTCAACAGAAGTTTATGGAACTACTGTTATATCAAATGAAATTAGTAACCCACATCCCCCCTTTACTGTGCCTGCTGCCTATTCCCTCGCCACGTCGTCGTTCCAATCCGAGATGGCAGTCGGTATTCTTCCAGGTCATCCAGCCGGCCACTAAATATATCCGATGTGGAGGGGTCGTCGTCCAGCTCAGCCTTCGGGCAAGTAGATCAATCTGCGAGAGAGAGAGCGAGAGAGAGAGGTCTCATTCCACTTTCTGTTTTGGGATCAATATTGGAAGCTACGAAAATACTGAAAAAAAAGAAGCTAATGTGGACAGGAAAAATCACAGCAGAAGAGGGTACAAATGCACTTCATGTGAACCGATTTCTTCAACCAGAACTGTAGTTGTTCAGTGGTGCAAAGGGCGCTTGTGATAACGATGTCTCCCTCATGTGTGTGTGTCTGTAACCATGTGAATGTCGTTGTAAAACCCTTGCATCCAGATTATCTACCACTCTTTCAAGCTTGCTTGCTTGGGAGTTCTGTACTGGTTTGCAAGGGGCATACTAGCTTGGAATTTGGAAATGCAGCCCAACAGTGTGAATCTTTGGTTCTTCACTCAAATAAAACTCAAATCCTGATGGGATTGAACAGAATAGAAAAAGTACTGGTGCAATGGCTTGTAAGCTGCAACGGCATGAAAAACACAGTTGCAAAGTGGCTTTGCATTGAATAAAATGCATCCGAAATTACACTTACGAAGCTCGGAATGCTTGGGTGTAAGAATTCGTAAGAAATATATGAGTGAAAAGCGTACCAAGTGTATGAGCAATCACATAGCCATGAAGAGAACATGGAAGTATGTCAATCCAGATCAAAGCAAAGTTTGGCCTCGTCCCAGGGCCCATTGATCTCAAACTTGTATTCTTGTATTCGTATTAACCAGTACGGACAGACTAATGTGATGAACACTATGACGGTAATAAATAAGACAAAAGCGAGACGGCTGAGGGGGAATATAAGGCCCAGTGTGAAGAAGATTAAAGTGCAAGAAAACCCTAAATGGAGATTTACAGAGCGCTGCCTGATGCAGTGGGTGACCAAAGGGAATAGGAGAAAGAACTCAAGAGAGAAGAGCATGAGCGCAAACACATACAGATGAGTCGGCAGGCGAGACGCTATCAGCACCGAAGCCACAATGGATGCGTTCATGGACACATTCGCCAAGAGTGTGGTTTCCTGCGCCTTGGAAGTCTTCTTGCTCGGCGCGTCCTTGGAGAGAGAGGCCGCAACAGTGGAGGGTGATGTCGAGGATGTGTAGTCGTGACAGAAGAGGTGAACGACGAGCAAGCTCACTGTCAACGCCCAGATGGAGTCGGAACTGATTGATCGGGTTAAGGTTTGGAAAACTGGCGCCAAGACGTAGATGGCGCTAACAAACAGGGTGAAGTTCCTTGCAATTTGCACCACGAAGGGAAGTGAAAACACGCATTTAATGGTCAGCAACAACGCCAGGAAACCCATTAGTAGCACAAGGGCGTCCAGCAGAAGGAGCACGGATGCGGGTAGCGCACCATTCAGGGCATGCGTCCACACAGTCGCCACAAGCGCAACCACACTTACATGGGAAGCGATGCCCACAGAATCGACCATCACTGTAGCAGTGTCGCGCTTGACGACATTAGCATTCATAACCATAGCTTCCAGAAATGACGAATCCTTGTAGTTGTCCGCGTAACCGCATTGCATGCCACCGTACACCACTTTCTTCCATCTAACACGCTGCGGACAATTCTTGCAATCGTGTCGCGGATCCTCAAACTGACGGCATCCCTCTGCCACCCGAGCTTCCTCTTTGATCCCCTCCATCGTCACGCCCCTTGCCTCACCCATTCCTTACTTAGAGCGCGGCAAGAAGCAGCATCTGGAAAGACCCAGATTTCGCACAAGACCCAACTCTCGACATCCAATAGGTTATACTTCACCCCTCATGTTGCTTCTGCGAATTTAGTCAAAACCCAGCTGGAATCCAATCTACTAAAAACCTCTACAACTTTTCTCCCAGATTTCGATCTCCGACAATATTGCTGCGCTCGCAGATCTTTGCGGCAGGCAATACTCCCACATGAATCACCAATCGATAAACCAACCATTACAAACTAGTTGAGCTTCTAACAATGAAACACAAAAAATTCTGCCGACAATGTCAGGAGAGACAATCCGGTGTAGCCAAGAACTTGCAACTATGACACAGGAATTCAGCCAGAACGGAAAAATCGCAGATTCACGCGTTGCTGGGGTACTGGAAGCGACTCAGCGCCAATAGTTGAGAGGTCCGTTCCCCAGCGGTGGTATCGTTCCTTCTCCATGGCGGGTATAACAGGGTATCCACTTGCGAAGGCTGGGAAGGCGGACAACCAAACCCCCTCCATGCTGTTTTCCAAATTAGGCTCCGCCCTTGTCTCTTCACCATTCCTCACTTATGCATCTGATGGTCACCTTTGAAGTTCTCTATTCTGCCATGAATCTTTGATTAGCTTCTACTTGCTGTGCCTTGTGTAAAAATCACGGGCATAATCGTTACTTTGGTCTGAGCGTGGTGTTTGATTTGTTGTCCAATACACTGGGTTTGTTTCGCTTTTGGTGCGTGTAGTAATGGAGCCACCAATGGCACACCCAATGAGCAAGTCTGATGAACAGTTAGAGATTAAAGCGCTGCGTCGCGTTATCCGTGCCTATCTCAAGTAAGCTTCCCAGTTTTTTTATGTCTTGAACCGCCAATCGACATGGTGGTTAGTTATTTTCATTTTCGAAAATGCAGTTATGGACATGCAGTTTGAATGGATCCTTGAATGCCGATTCCTGTGTCAATTTCGGGAATGTGATTGGGACCGAAAGAATATGTCTCTTCCACCTGCTGTGGCCGGAGTGTGAGGTCTTGTGGTTGGTTCTGGTCTTAGTATCTTCAGCTTGCTTTGGAGTAGAATATTTCACCCCCTGAGCTGTGTTAGGATTTGCACTGATGTTGTTTAATCGATTTTGAACTCGAAAAGTTGTGCGGGTACAATCCTCTCAGCTCGCTTGAGAATTGCGTGCATGAGTATTTGTTGTATTCATTGTAAGTGGAGCCTTGGATCAATTAGGCCTGGTTAAACAATCTTAGTTGCGCATCACGTTCCTCAAAGTGCTGAGTTGTTGGGTGTGTGCAGTTATCCAATAGCAGCGGAGGATGACGTTAAAAAGTGGGAGCGGTCATACTTGATGTTAAGCTCGGCTCATAAGGTGTGTCCTAATTGCTTATGTCTCCCTATCTTGCTGAGTTATGTAGAAACCTTCAGGTCCAAATCCTGTGCATTTATACATGGGACAGGCACCCTGACGTTCGACAATTACTTCGAATCTTTTTATTGTGCTGGAACAGGCATTAATTCCTCACTTGCAAAAGAAGTACGAGGATATGAGGAGGTAGGTATTCACCTTTGCTTATGACTTGATATTAACCCTCCATTTGATGACTGTTCTTGAAAGAACTTTTTTTTGTATACATTCTTTGATTGCTTCTAAATGTGGTTAATGATGTTGTGGTTGTGAAAATTTAGATACATTATCTGTGATTATTAAGCATGCAACATTAACTGGAGCACGCTGTGCAGGTGTGTCAAGACCAATACATGTTTCATCATGAATATGCTTCAGGTACATTTTATCTTGATCAGGTACACAGGGTTTAGGGTTTGGATGACCAGTATGAATGGGTGTTTTCGCCGCAAATGAGCACCTATCCATGTTCGTAATTATGCCTTCTTTTCAGATGAAAATAAGCTTTCTACTCAACAATCACTTAGCATGTCCTTTTAAAAGAGAGCCAGGATCATTTTTCGGTGGTTCTTAGCGTGTAACGCTAACGATCCTAGGTGCTTGATGAGGAGAGTCTAAAATATATTAGACTGTAGCATCACCAGCTTTTCGTGAGGGCTCAGTAGCTTATAAACGTAAAGAACTGGCAGGTGAGCTTTCTCACGTTGATTTACCATGCAGGCGTTTGATTCTCCATATGAAATAGATGATGGGATAGGCTCTGGTTTTGACGAACCAATACACATCCAACACAAAGCTGCTGATGAAATGACACATAATAATATTAGGTGTTGCAGGAGGTATTCTCGATCCACGTGGAGTTTTACTGAAGCTGAGGGAACTAGTTTTTTTCAAATATAATGCTGCCGCTAAATCCTTATTGGCACGTCCATGATAAGACATTCAGAAAGTGCACATGTAAAAATAATCTTCACAAGTAAATTGATGAAACTTCTCTGCACAGAGTTTTGCATTTTTGTGTTTTAAATTAAGGAATCCACTTAGATAAATTCTTATCGATCGATGTGCTAACAATACGTATATTTTGTTTCATACCGAATGAGGTAGCGAGTCATTGCGCTGCGCTTGAGGGTTAACTCAATTGGCTGTGTTTATTCCAGAAATGATGTTAAGACAACTGAAACTCACTTACACACGAGTCATTCTAGAGACTCAGCCACAACATTTGCCAACTCCAACAAACGGCAAGCCATACAGAGAAGCGACGACGACCCCAGAACTGATTCATCAACTCTTGAAATCAATGGATTTGGTACCCGAGGCCCTGTACACTTAAATTGTGACGGGTCTTTTACTGGATGTAAAGCGCCAGCGAATGAACGTGGTGTAGCTGCAGGAGCTTGTGGCAACTTATCCTGCAACACCACTGATCATGAGAGCACAAACAGAAAGTGCTTTGAGAATGAGCAACGAAATGGATCCACGAAACGCTTGGCTTGTGTGAGAACATCCTGATATTTTTTATTCTTCTTTGGGTTCGAAATCCCTATAGTTACTCTCTATTGAGATCTTAACTCTTCATTTTATGCAAGCAATTGTAGGTGACCAGCAAGTCCTAGCTTGTCATGGTTTGATCCAATATTTCGAGTCCGAAATGGTCGAGTTTAAGATTGATTTGTTCGAACTATTATCAACATGCCTTGTTTGTCGTTCTGCTGTCTGCAGTAGATAACTGAGTCAATTTTGGTGAAATATGGATGATATTGATTTATTGTGGTGTGCATTCCAGGAGCGTGTTCAATTTGATCGGAGTCACCTATCATTTCAGCTTCGTGTTCCCTTTAAAGACATAGACAAGGTATTAATCATTCTCAATTCACGCCCTGTTTTCTAATTCTTTGTGGAAAATATGTAATTTGATATTTTATATCATAACGTTACAATTAGGTGCTTGTTTCTTGATTCATGTAATGCGTATTTTGGTTTTGAATCTTTGTTTCCAACTTGGAGACGCTAGTGCTTGATGATTGAATTGATTTCAGGTGCGATCTATAATTCAAAATATCGTTCGTGACTGGAGTGAAGAGGTAACTTCACTTGCCACTTAATAGTTTCTTTGATTCCAAGTGTCAGTAGCACATTTTGTCCCATCTCTTTCTGTGGCATATCTTGTGGACCCGTGTGTTAGGGTGCACTTGAACGAGAGCAGTGCTACCAGCCCATATTGGAAGAACTCCACCGCTTATTTCCCGATCGGAATGCTTCGAGGTAGATAGGCAATTCTATACTAGTTTTATTTTCTTATATATTCAACTACTTTCTTTCCAGGAATTATTGTCCCTTGAGATATGAATGCTAGAGGAAAAACCTGCAATATTGGTTGAGAGCGTTACCTTAACTCTAAGCGAAATTAACTTTTAATTGCTAATGTCAGGCAACGTCCAACCTGCTTGCTCCCTGGGGCAGGGCTAGGTCGTCTGGCCTGCGAAGTTTCACGCCTTGGTATTTACTTCTCCGCCTCTGCTTTTTGGATCTAATCCAACAGCCGGGCCGGCAAATTAAGTATGTTTTATTTGCATTTGTACTCCCTTCTCTGAAAAGTGTTACTCCATACTTGTTTATCGTTTACTACGCAGGCTTCATCGCTCAAGGGAATGAATTTTCGTACTCCATGCTTATGTGTTCCAGCTTTATACTAAACCGGTGGGTTTTACTTTGCGATTCATGCATGCATATCTCTACATGTGTTTGGACGATACATCTCACTAAAGTTTCTCCAAATTATCCTATTTTCAGAATATGGCATTCTTAGCAGGCAGCATGGTTGCCAATATATATATATATATATATATATATATATAAGCAGGTTTTGATTTTAATTTGATAGATGGAGCAGGACTACTAAAGCATTAGAATGGACCTTGCACCCCTGGATTCATAGCAACTGCAACCATTTTTCCGATGGCGATCAAATGCGGGCTGTACTTATCCCAGATCTTCTTCCAGGAAGGTAAACATTACTAGGTTGGTTTTGTTGCTCCTTACATTGAGCGTAGTAAATTGTGCGTAAATGCTGGAATTATTCTTCCAATAAATGCTTTCGATGATTGATAGCGGCGTACTCAGAGAACAAATTGAAGATGTAGGATCTGCATCGTCCTGCTAAGTTTCTGAACTCTAGTATCTTACAACATTACTTTAGCTTTTCTTCTGAGCAAATATCTTATGGTAAAATAATGAAGCAGTGCAGGAATTACAAACGGTTTTTCCATGTGTGCTGGGGATTTTGTGGAGGTCTATAGTCATCCAGGCCAGGCAGGCATGGATTTATCAGATTCTTGCTCTGGCAGTTAAAAAAAAAAGTTGCTAATATAAATACACTATTTTCAGAATTTCTTGCTGTGAGCTGGTGTAAAAAAACAGTCGCGTAATATATATAATACTGATGTGGCAGGGGCATGGGATGCTGTTGTAACTTGTTTCTTCATTGACACTGCGCACAACATTGTAGAATACCTGGAAGTAATATCACGTGCTCTCAAGCCTGGTGGGGTATGTTTCTGAGTTGAAATTAGGATATCTCAATCTGCGACTTTAAAGAAGATGTTCATTTTGTGATATGTTTTGTACGTATCGTGCCTCAACGTTGATGAACTAACACAGATGAATGCAGGTTTGGATAAATTTGGGCCCCTTACTTTATCACTTTGCCGCTGAAACAACTTACTCTCCAGAAGAGGCAAGTTCTTCTGTCTCAAATTTTACGACTGATAATTGGGAATGCTGGTCGATTTTCTTAGAGCAATGGATGAAGCGTTTAACAACTATACGAAGATCAAAAGTTTCATATAAATACATGTGATTGAGGATAATGCAAGAGTTTTTCTGGTTTTGAAACCAAAGCTGGAATCTCTACTGTAATTATTTCACTATCTGTTCTGGTTCTAGTTCTGTGTTGGCTTTTCATTCTCCTAATCGAGAGGATCCTGCTATTCTATACACCTAATCATTCAAGTATTACGTGACTTTTTCCCCCTCTGAACGTGGGTTTATTTGGGAGTGCAGATGTCTTTAGAACTCAGCTTGGAAGACGTGAAAAAGGTTGCTGCAAACCTGGGATTAATTCTAGAGGTATACAACTTCAAGTTCTTAGCATGCGCAACCTTATAGTCATCTGAATGCTCTTGGATGGCGTCTTTCTTTGCACACTGTAATGTAGTCAGTTGGAATAAATGGTTCTCCGATTTTACAAAGTTAAGAGACAATGATTCGCATATTTTTTGTGACTCAAAACTCGAGTCCTGAGCTGTGCGAAGATTGCAGTGAGATGATTGTGGTTTTTCGATTTGGAATATTGTACACAAAAGGACAGAATGCTCTGGAGTGAGTTATCTCTTGCCTTTGATGTCATATCCCAGGCATGCAATAGTGTAGCTTCTTGTAAGTACATTCTGAAGCTTGTCCACCGGATGTGCAGAAAGAAAGGATGATAGAGACAACATACGCAGCTGATTGTCTCTCAATGATGCAGGTATTCTTTGCAAAAGTCTTTATGAAAATGTACATGTTTTCTCTGGCAAACTTCAAAGGTTGTGAGTCATCTGGAAAACCACGAACGTTGAATTGAGCAAATCTATTTTCTTAACTGTTTGCAGAACCGGTACACAGCAGTATTCTGGACAATGGTGAAAGAAGAAATTGCACCCACACAGAAAAACGTTTAACAAGGTTGACTGGTGCTCAGAAACAACTGGTGTATAGCTACTTTTTTATTTCTTCCAATTCATTTCTGGTGACGTTGTGTCAAGCTTAGTGTGCATTTTCTACAACTTGGTCCATTATTGAAGCCACGATCAGCCCCATTTGCAGAATCACTAAAGTTACTGCAGTAAGCAAGGCACCCTTGTTAGGATTTAGTGAGCGGAATGTGGATTCTTCAAGTGCCATTTGATGCTGTAGAGTTTTCTAGATCGGTTCCAACATGAATAATCCTTCGGTAACGGTATTGACTTCTCACCCTCGAATTTCCTTTGCAGCTCGGAATCTCAGAAGGATTCCATTCTCTTCGATGCAACACTTCTTAACCTTCGTATTGAAAGAACCCAAACACAAACTTTGATGGAAGCAAGCTTGTTAACCATGACCATCATTTCTTTTAACACTTAATTTCAACAGCTTGCTCATTTGCTTTCATATGAAAGAAATTTGTCTACGGTAATGAACCAAATTATCAAAAAATATATATCTTCAAAGTAAAGTATAGAATATAGTGGGTATATATATATATATATGTACACGTCTATCAAAAGTTTGTGTTCAAATTCAACTTGATACCTAAAAAAAACTTAAGGTTGTCAAGCTTAAATGGTTAAGATGAGAAACATCATGTTGTTGTAAAAGCATTTATCATGTGGATAGTAATATCATTTATTTATGATTCTTTTTCTTTTTCTTGTTCTTTTCTTTGTTACTTTTTTGTCTAGTGTGTGAACCACATGAAGAAAAATTGGAAATTTAATCAATTACATTATTGCATTCCTTGCAATAACTTAAAAAATTGGGAATTTAATCAACTATATAATTACATTCATGGCAATAATTAAGTACATGATTTCATAACTTGGCTCTAACAAAACACCACTATCAAAATTTAAAAATAACATAACAATCAATAAATAAAACTACTAGGTTTTATCATGTAAATGAACATAGTCCTAAATGTTGACATCCAAGGAATCAAATCCAAGTTAATGAAATTGATTGCTCTATTCTTGTCATGTGCTCACTTGTTGCCAACACTCTTGTTACCCTTATCCTTATTGATATTCAATTAGATGTATTATTATTATTATTATTATTATTATTTTGTATCTTATTAGTAAAATAGTACACCAAAAAAAGAAAAAATAATAATAATAATACATCTAATTGAAACTATCCTGAACTCTTCACATTATGTATACAAATATTGATCCATCCTGTTCTGGGCTATTATTCAACTCTGAACCAGGACCGAAAGAAACTCAACGTGGGGCAGAGCCAATTCCATATGGAACGGTCGAGCGTCGGACTCCGAGAGTAGAGCCTGCACTCGACTAGTTCCGGAGTGGAATGCTCCTCCAGCACTAATAGAGAGAGCGAGCGAGCGAGAGATAGTAGAGCTCTGTTTCTGCTCCTTCTTCTTCTACTACTTCTACGATTCTGTCACAGCAGAGCTTGTGAAGATCGGAAAATGTGAAGGTGTTGTTGGGTGGGTATTGAGGGATTATTGTCCGAGATTACGATGATGACGGTACTGGCGTGGGGGCATTATTGTTGTTGTTGTTGTTGTTGAAGATTTTGGTAGTGTTTGCGGTGAGAGGCTACTGCAGCTGCGTTGGGAATTTGAATGTTGGGTTGTAGAGATTGGAATCATGGTTCGACGAGGCGGTGAATAGTGAAGGAGAGCAAGGAGGAGGAGGACGCGGAGGAAAATGGCAGGTGTGAGTGGGGGAATGGAGGGTGGAAATGGGGCGACAGGGGATGGGGTCTTTGATGCACAGCAGGTTGCGGATGTGAAGGCATGGCTGCGGGGAGCATTTGAAGCTGTGGGGAAAGAAGTTCCGGAATTCGAGTACACGCCGCGCACTGTGGCACATCTTCATAACCTTGCCGTTCTTTCCCAACACCGCACCCAGTCTGCCACCATTGTGGCCGCGGATCTGCGGCAACGGGCCGCCGAGTTTCGCAGTCAAGGTGTGCTGTTGTAATACTCTAGCTGGAGCAACTGGAAGCTGTTGTTGTGATTTTATTATCAGCTCTGGGGCTCCTTGGCCGTGATGGCTGTTTTGATTGTGAACTTCTTGTGATGAGTATGCGTGGCTATGGCAGCTGCCAGGATCCGTGAAACTCTCGAGTGCACGGGGCTTTCGCAAGAGAACCTTTCGCAAACTGGGGTTATGTCAGCAAATACACTTGCAAATGTTGCCAACCTGCTTGACCTCAAGGATACTGAAACAACTAGGTTTGTCGTCCTCCGAAGTTTTCAACGACCCAGAACTGCTTTGTAGCCTAACGGCACTTCTTGTCCAGCATTTTAGGGTATTGGTAGAATTTGTCTGATCCATGTTCAACTGGGTTGCTTCGAAGTTATGGTCCCTTTGAATATCATTGTCCTTTACAATGTTCGGGATTGACATTCTCAACAAGATGTATCGTATCGTCAATAATGCTCTGCACATCCTTTTTCTTTTTCTTTTTCTTTTTTTTTGTTATTTCCTCTTTTTTTTGTTGAATTCCAAATGTGGTTCTTTCTCTTTTGGCAGCTACCTTATGGCTATAACTGAGCTCTCACTAAAGAAGACCGAGTTAGAGGAGACAAGATCGAAGGCCCAAAGGGAATCCAAAATGCTCTTAGATTACACTCGGAAAGCCATTGCCCGACTGACCTACCTGAAAAGGTGAACATTCTACACCTTTTGAGTGTATATGCAAGAATGACTTTCAGCTCTTTTGAAGGTGATACGTACGGAACGGACAGCTTTTATTATGGCTACTTCTGTTTAAAAGTGCTCGGTTAATGAGGTATGCTGCCCATTCTAACGAGTATGGGGTGAAGGGCTCTTGGTCAGCTTGAGGAGGAGGTGGCTCTCCGGGAGGGGCCAATGATGCAATGGAACACTAACCTCAAAATGATGGCCTCGAAAGAACGTCAATACTTGCAGCAGCTTGCTAACTACAAGGTGGAGTGAAATTCTTACATCCCGAGGTGGTCCATGTAGTATCTTGAAACGTCAGGATTTGCTCAAGAAAGTGTGTCGGGGTATGCACTTTTGGAGCAGGATAATAGATTATTATTCCGGATCTAGGATTTTTGTAGACGTGAGGAGATGTGAAGAAATCTGTGGGATTGATATTTTTGTCTCATGTTCGTTGTACGTAGGTCCTACAAATTGTCGACATGACCTTAAGAAATGAATCAGAGCATAACATGATAATATTTTTGTTGAATCTTTGCATTGCAGTCTTTATTAAGGCGACTTGGTTACACGAGAGATATAAGCCATGGCGTGTTGATGGCCATGGTGGAGCATCGTCATGAATTAGAGGCTAAGACGAAGCCCATTCTTGATACCCTTCGCAGCTACCAAGACCTGCCTCCTGTACTATTCTTCCTGGAACCTATTTCTTCCCCCCCCCCCTTTTTTTTTGGGGGGGGGGCAATTTATAGATATTTTTTTATTCAATTTGTGTGCGTTTTCACAAAACTTATGGGCGGACCCGGTTCTGTCGATCTCAGCGTTTGCATTGAACACTAAGGCTTGATTTTATCCTTACTAATTTTTGGCTGACATCGGCTGGTGACAGGACAAGGCGTTGGCCGGACTTGCCATTGAAGACAAAAGGCGAGAATATGAGGCTGCTGAGAAATACTTGGAAGATGCCTTACATTCAGCTCTTCATACTCCTGAGGAGTGATTATATTATGCTAGAAACTATGCGCCTCAAATATGAACATCAAGAATTTTAGTAGACGTCTCTGATTGCTGGAGGTCTTGAAATGAATTACGTTCATGGGAGGTATACCCAGCAGGATTAGAGAGAGCATGTGTGTCTAGAGACAACCGCAGCGAGGTAGCGGAATCATAACATTCTCACACTTGAGTTCATGCGCATGTCATTTACACATTTCATTTGCAGGTGGTGAAGCTTTGCACCCCAACTTTGTTCCTCAACTTTTTATTCACCTTAGTGTGATGCAGTCATTACCTATCTCGTGGATGCTACACATTTGCTTCATTGCCTTGCTACTGAAAAATATCGTACCATTTAGTACGCATTACTGTTCTAATTTATTGACTGTAGATACTTCAGGCAACCACAAAATAGGAAGGAAATGGCCGCAATTACGCGAAACTCACACCATCCGTCACGGATAAGGTGTTTGCTGTCTTCATCGTTAACTTCTGGTGAAGCTTTCAAGTTGAAGACGCTTTTGATCGTGAAGGTATATGCTATGTATATTAAATATGCTCCTGCTCAAAATGGACCAGCTGAAGTATTGGAAAGGTTTTCATCTGACATGCCTGATATCAGCTGGACAAAAGTATTGGACTTCAATATGAAGACTCCTGTCCTCTTGGTTGTCCACATTCTCAGTGTGGTCCTACTCTTGTTTTGTGGCTTAGTTGATGACCCTTAGGCAAATAATGCAAGAGGGGCCGTGTCCTTCAATATGATGACATGGTTGTGACTGCCTCATCAGTTACTTTTACTCTGGACTTGCCTCATTTTGTCTCCACCAAACCCTTCATTATTCTATCAGTATTTTGCCAATACTTTCTTAAATGATTGCAATGACTTGTTGGTTCTCACTGTTGACGCAGAATGGAGTCGTTCTAGAGTTCGTAACTTTAAGAGCACTAGTTTTAATTGTGTGTCGAGTGTTTCGCTATCATTTGCAATATCTATATATATATATATATATATATATAAATTAAAAAAATCTTTGAATTTTAATATTTCCAATTCTTAGGCTCTATTTGCCAAAAAAAATATTTTTAATAAAAAATTATGTATTTCTTTTGTATTAGTTAAATCCAAATAAAAGATTACTTTACTCTTTAATAATACATACTATAGATATGTTTTCTTTTAAATTTATCATAAAATACTCGTATGCTAAAAAAAATCTCTTATTAAAAGTCTATACTTAAAAGAAAAATAAATAAAAATTATTTTTTTTAATAGTAAGCATAAAAATTATAGATTTATATATGTCCATATGCCCATCTAGATTGTATTGCTTTTTATTTCACCTGAATGACTAACTATAACATAGTACAATTGTCCTCCTAATAATTAATCTCTCAAAACCTAATATCTTATGATAATTAATCAAAATTCTAGAACAAGCTCTATTCTCTAATGTATAGTTGATAATATATGATATCAAATAAAATATTAATTTTTATTGATTAACAAAGGTAAATACCTATGAAATCTAGCTATATATGTTGATTTGTATATGTGACGAGAGAGATGGAGAAAGAAAGTAGGACAAAGACAAGCAAAGGATTGGATGAGTAGAAGATTAAACGATGAAATTGATGTTATTTACAAATAATATGATTGTTTATTTAATAATTTTTTGCTAAAATACTATTTAGTAGACATCCCCTTGATGAAAATTAGATATGTAAATTAAATATAGGTTAAAATCAACCAATGTAATTTTCCTTGATTACTTTATTAATTAATAACCTTTGATAGTTAATAATTTTTAGTGCAGTAGATGATATTTAATAGTGAGGGAACAATTGACTTCCAAAGCAAACAAAGTTAACACTTAGAAGTTGCTTGTATTGAAAATACATGCTTTGATATGCACTTTATATTATTAATAGAAAAATCAAAATATAAGTGAACAAATTTTAAGATCTTTGTGGTCTAAGTATCCAAATATAGAGAAAGACAATATGCATACAACCCTCTTGATCCTATATTAATATTAACCAATGTAATTTTAACCTATAACAATCTTCTTTTATAATGTGCTCAATCAGCCACAACTTTGAAAACATCTAATTTGAAATAACACAAAGGAAAACCAAATTGAGTGGAAGGGGGGAAAACAAAACAAAACAAATTCTGTGATAGATACCTGCTAAGAACATATATAAGACAACAGCTGCTGTTAAAAACAACTTGATAATCAATGCCAATAGAAAAACAAAACAAATCTGTCAAGGAAAAATTAAAAAAATAGTAATAATGTAAGAAAAATAATAGCCAGCTTGAGGAGCAATGAAGAGGAAGACAGAGCCAAATGCCTACTTTTGTTTCCATTGAAGTTTAAAGAAATGTCGAATAGTGAATAATGATAATGAATAATGAATAATAATAATCAGATGTTGTGTTTCACCTTCCTCCCTCCCTCCCTCCCTCCCTCCCTCCCCTTGTGGTGCCATTAGTGTGTTCTTCATTCATTCAGTACAAAAGTCCATTTGCAATACAACGCCAAACAGGGCCAGGAAATAAATAAACAAGCGAAGCTAAGATCAGATAGGATAGAATGCCAAAGAGAAGAGTAACAGAGGAATAACAACAACATCAACATCAACAACAGTAACTCACTCACTCACTGATTCAGTCGCAATAAAGAGGGAGGGGGATTGAGGCTCTACCCTTCTTCTGCTTCTGCTGCACTGCACTGCACTGCAGCATCTGGAGCCAGCCCAGCCCAGCCCAGCCAGCAGAAGCAGAGGAGCGATGGATGCGTCATTACTCCCGGTCTGCGTCACCGCCCAGCTCCATGTCTGCCCCTGACCCACTCACACTGCTGACAATTGATGGCGATGGTGGGTGGGTGCCACCCCGGCTGGCTGCTGCCTTTCCATGTCGCTCTGCGTTGTGCTTTTTCTCGTTTTTGGGGATGCTTTCACTGCTGGCTGATGGATAGACGCAGCTTTGCATGGCCCGAATGAAACTACCTGCCTGTGGGTCTTCCCCGTCATGGGGATCTTGCGTTGTTAACCTGCACCTGGTGACGGTGAAGTCCCCTCGCTACTCTCTCAAGTTCTTGGGTTCGTTCCTAGACGTTGTAATGATAATGGCTAGGCAGGATTGATTTGAAACTGGCCCTGACTTTTTAACACTTTTTATTTAAGGTGGGGTACGCTCTCATGAAGAGAAATAGATACACAAGTACGGTGGCACGAGGTAGACTACATCGCCAGTTATTGGTCCAGGGCTGTAAACAGTCTCTGTGTGGCGTCTTTTACGTGCACTTGCTGTGTTTAGCGAGTTGCAGGCTTCATTTTGGTTCTCAGCGCTGCAGCTACGTAGTTTTATTCCCTTTGTTTCGAAAGTGGGGAATAGTGAAGTTCTCCTTTCTAACATCAGTAAATACTGCAGTGATTCTCTGGAAGACGATATCTAGGATTCTACTGCATCGAACGCCGTGGAGTCTTCCGCATTTTTCTGTGTCTGTTGTTGTTTACACGATTTGGAGTAATAAAAAAGCTTAAAGAAAATGATCAGTCATTAACACTTCGTCTGAAACCCTTCGAGGATATTGGCATGTGCGTCGGAAAGAGCGTGCTCTCACCTCATGGACGAAGGCATCGACTGTGGCGCCAAATTTCAAACTAGGTCACACACGCTGACAGAAGCAAGTACAGAGGACATGATATGGCAGACAGTGCCTGATCTCTTGAAAGAATGTGCATTGGACGGGGTATGTCAGGTAATGAAGTTCCCTGCGAACTCAATTGATCGACTGTCTCACTTTGCACACAACAACGCGGAGCTTGCAGCACAGTCAGCTTCGCATCATGCACAGCGCTGTGGGTGGGGGGAGGCATATGCAAAATGCACAGGAATCTGCAAACCATGCAACAAAGCTCCAGGCAGACTTCACACACATACACACACGAAATATCTTCCATCGAGATGATATTTGTTGACTGCAGTCAACAAGTGAGAAAAACTGACGAGGTGTCCACTCCTCTTCTGCAAAGTGAAAGAAACTCGAAGTACAAAATCGTAAAGCGACCCGAGAGGTCTCTAATGTACACGGATATCCTGTCAAGGATTTCCAACAGGTCAACTGTCTTCAAGGGGACTGGCAACGTCGACTCTCTTCAGACCGTTCCCTCATGTTTTTTTCCTGGCAGAGAAAGGCATCGGACTTCTGATTGAGGGTCCTCCGTTAAAAGTAGCGGTCACTTTGAGACTACATCGTGTCCTCAGAGTAGTAGTCGCAAGCTGGCTGCTTAGAGGCATTGTCATTGTCTTTTTCCTGACAATGAACCTAAGCATGCGTGATTTTGGACCTCCAGAGCGCTCGAGGAAAAATCTTGTCTGCGATACGGCGGGCTTCTGGGGTAGGACTCAAGCTCGTGGATCGGGAGACGTATGAATCAACTCTCCTGACAAAGCATTCCCCATCCAATGCTGCTTGCTCCAACGTTGCTTAGAGTCATTGTCATTGTCTTTTTCCTGACAATGACCATAAGCAAGGCTTCTAGTGCGACCTTCGCAGGTCGTTTCCCCCTAGCGGATCCCACCCTGATCTGACTGCACGCGAACCCCGCAGCTCGGACACGCTGGAGACGACGAACAGAGCATGACAAACATTGAGCAGCTGTGGCATCCAGAGACTACCATCACTGTCGATGGGCTCTTGGTATCCTTCCCGCAATCGCTTGTAGACAGCTCTTCCTCTCTGGTTCTCCCCCACATTGAATCACCACTGCCAAGCTCCCTGTCTGCGCACCATTCCGATGCATCGGAGCAGAATCCGCTGGTTTTCTCGCACACATCGGGTGGACAACAGCTGACAGCTCCACTGTCCATGTCGATTTCGTCACTTTCATCTTCACGCGAAGAAGCAGTCTCTGTGTGCTCAATGGACGATTCTCCTCGAATGTGCGCTTCCCGCATGTGAGCTTGGACGGATTCGTCAGCTCGACGAATGAGCTCTCGAGGGTCGTGCTTCGTTCTCTTACAAGAACTCCAGTGGAAGTAGTAGAACTGTCCTGTCTGCTGGAACCGTAACTATGTTAAAAAAACCCAGCCAAAAAGGATAAACACACACAAGTATATAATAAGGACTAAACAAAAATGATTGTAAGGCGATCACAAATGCATCGATAGATTCGACTTTCCTGCAAATGGTACAGCGAAACTAAACTGGATGATAGAAAGAGGAAAGGAATGTCGCTAAGATACACGAAATTCACAATAAGAATTGAAGGAGAGAAGTTTTCACATGTCCAACCTTGAGGTCCAAAAACTGTTCCCAGTCCTCGGGCAAGGCAGGTTGTGTTTTCAGCGCCACTTCGAGACCAGAGGTGACTTTATTCAGAGAAGCGTCCAGAGTCTCGTGGGAGTTGGACGTAACGAGACCGCGTTTACGGGTCGAAGATTCAATCGCTTCCATGGAGTGCGACCGAAGAGCTTCTAACTGGAGCTGCACCACCTGCACAGCATCCTGAGGCCAAGCCAGACGAGCGAGCCTTGCAGGAGCTGGCGCAACTTGGACGGGAGTGCTCGGCGATGGCGGGCAACCCAACCCCGGCTTGGAGACATACGCCGGAAGCGATATTGTCAATGACGACGTATGAGTGCGGAGTTCGATTGTCGAGCAAGTGCGCGGGGCCACGCGCCCAGCTCTCCCCATCGCAAGCCTACCCTTGTATCTCTCGCAACCGGCTTAACCGATCAATCAATCAATTTTCTCTCTCGCACGCTCCCGTCGAGCGTCGGCTGAACTCCCCCAGCACTACTTCTTTCACTTCGTAGCACCGCTACTCATGTGCTAATATTCAAAGTGACAGAAAACTCCTCGCTCGGCAATGTTCGAGTGACGATTACACCTGTGGACGGATACTAGAGCGTGCGCTACCGAACGAAGCTCAGTTCACAATTTCAGGCTTTCGACGCGCACACACACACACAGCAATCGCCACCCCTGTCCCCCACCACCCTCTCACCAGCACCCACCTCCAAACTTCGCCCATACACCCACACAAATGCAGCAACGACCCAACTCCCTACCACAACCAGTAGCAGCAAACACCGGCTTCAATGCTTCCCCGCGCCACACATACACCACCATCCGCCGACGTCAACGACCATCACATCTTCTTCACCTTGCACACAGCGAATACTCAAATTCGACCAGGCCCAATTGGGAAGAGGACGCGACAGGGACGTCGATACAAGGGCGGCAATGGATCGGAGAGGGGCAGGAAGAGGGAGGGCAATGGGTGGAGAAGCAGAATGGGAAGTGCTGTAAGTGAGCTGCAGTCAAACACACAGCACAAACCGCGCAGAAACCGGAAGATTAAAGCTGAAAATGAGTGAGTGAGAGTGAGTGAATGAGAGAGAGTGAGAGTAAAAGTGGGGGACGATGACGGACACGAATGATGAGATGGTGACAGAAAGAAGGGGGGAGGGACTGTTAGCCGTAGAACCCCGAGTGCTACTACTACTACTACTCTCCAGATCGTCGTAGCAGCATCGAGTACCCGCATCCACAGTGTTATTATTCCATCCTCTCCCTACTGCCGAAATTAAATCAAATCAAAACAACGCAACGCAACTCCACCCCGCTGCTCCTGGTCTCCAGTGCATCATGAAACCAGCGGATCTCACAACTACTACGATTACAACAACAACAACAACAACAAACGATGCGTTGAATGGATGAATGAATGAGATGTGCACAATACGAGTGTGAGTCGTAAACCGTCTGTGGCAGGGGGGCAGCATTGATGCGCGTGGGGACAAAACTTGGTTAGAGTGGATCTCTCTCCCTCTTTTGTTTCTTCTTTGCCTTGGCTTTGCATTCTCTGGCCCTCTACATTCATCTGTTAGAGCTCCCACGAGTTTGTTTGTTGACAGGCGTCTCGTTTGGTCTTTGTCCATTTGCTCGTCATGGTCCCAGTAATCAGCTGTACATGCCATGTCAGAAGGGGGGGGGGAAACAACAACAACAACAACAACAATTTTGAATTGAATGGGGTCTGTGGGAAGGGTGGGGAAGAGTGAGAGAGTCTCTTCATCCCCATGTCCTGAGTTAGTTTTAATTCTGTCCCCCAGGCTTCATTACTTGGCAGATCCCTGCCACCGTGTGCTATTAATTTGTTTACTTAATTTAGTCATGTATACATATCTTTCAGCTGAGCATGGAAATCATTCATTTACTTCCCTCAACTACAGTACAAGGACACTACAGCCCATGACTGGGACGTGCCTTAAAAACCCCAATGACACACTTCTGAATGGTGCACTTGAGAGAAAGATGTAGAATTTAAGTCCATAAGGGCATCACTATGCTGCTGCTGCTCTTTGTTCAACAGTGGAACCATTCATGTAGTTTCATTCACTCACTCACTCACTCACTCATTTATTCATTCTACTAAAACAAACACACTAATACTCTCTCTACTATGGCTCTCCCATCTCTACCCCCCCCCCCCTCCCTAGACCTTCAATAAATTCCTTACATGAGGGCAGTCCTGGTTCTCATTGAAACTGAATAAGACCCCCCATGCTCAGTACACAGCCTTCTTCTACTTCCTTCCTTTTCTGAGATTCTTATTTATTTCTGCATGTTGTGGGTGGGGGTACATGTACTCTTCTATTGCCCTGCTCAAGTTTCACTGATTTCCCTGTCTCTTCTTTGCCCCTCCCCCACCCTCTTACCCACATGCCAATAGCTACCTCAAGAAGTAGGTATATCTGTTGCACCACCACTGTTTGTACACACACATATATATATATACACACACTCACACACACATACATACTCCATTATTGTTGTTGTTGTCTTTGTTGTTAGAGTGTGAGAGGCAGTGTGATTCAGGTAAACTCATGAGCTCACTCACTCAACTCTTTTCTTGCCCTGTACCTTTGGACCCTCCTTGGCTCATGATTTTGGGGGAGACAAAACCCTACCCAGCCCAACTGATCCAACTTCCCAGACAGGAGAGAAGGAGAAAAACAAAAACAAAAACAACACACACATACACTCACTCACTCAATCACTCTCCAAAGGGAATTGCCTCTCTTGGTGGGCCTGAAATAAATGTGAAGAAGCCTGCAAGGTAACATGTTTGATGGGAATGAGAGCACTGTCATTTCATGGTTTGCCATCCAAAACCCCACACAGTGAGTGATCATTTGTTGCACTCACTCATCTGCATGCGTCTCTAGTTGGCTTGCAGTGGTTGCCACAGCCACAGCTCTGCATTTCTAGGGTTTGTGGCCCCCCACTCACCCCACCCCCACCCCCCACCTAGAGTGCCATTATGTGCTCTCTCTCTCTCTCATTCTCTCATTGGGTGAAAAATCTTATTCTTGCAACTGTATGAGGAAGGAGAGGGAGAACAATATATATATATATATATATATATATATTTACATGTGTGTGTTGGGCACTTTCCTCCCTTACTAGTCTATGATATGATATGACATGATTGTAAATGAAGGGCAAAATTAATTAATTAATTAAATAGAAAAAAGTATTTTGCTATCATCACTGCCATCATCCACATCCCCCCTCCCCCATTCTCTATATCTGTCCCCTCTTTCTGCCATTTGGGTTCCATCATGGCTGATTGTGTGAACTCAAAGGTGGTTCCGTCACCACCATTATTATCCCACACAACCCTAAACCCAAAAAGAAGAAGGAGGAGGAGGAGAGAGTACAAGAAAGGAAGAAAAAAAATGTTCCTTATTTTGAAAGTCCTTGTTTCCTTCTTTGCTCTGGAGGGTATTTGGGATTTTGAATTTTATAACATAATTAGCAAATACAGAAATGAAAAAAGGTCTGTGTGCTTGTAAGAGAGAAGGCAAGGGGGCTACAACTTTCAGAGCTTGTGATGGGATAAAATCTATAAATCTTTTCAGGTTGATTTTATACTTAGAAGGTCATAAAAGAAGGGATGAAAAGAAAGAGAAAAAGAAAAAGAAAAAATGAGTTGGAATGTATTCTTTTTCTGCACAATACAAATACTGTTGTTTATTCAAATTTATGTTAGAGCTTTTACCTAAAGTTTGTTAAACACAAAGAAAATTAAGCAAGTGAAAGGAATTTTAGAAAATTTTATTAAAAAAGTATTTAGAATTAGTGGTTGAACTTACTTATATGAAATCTGAATTTAAATTTTATTATTTTAAGAATAGTGTAACAAGAGACTTATAAAATGATACAACTCAAGAATAATGCATATGGTTAAGTAGAGCTCTACAAGGTTAAATTTGTTGCTAAAAGTTTTATACAAAAAGTAAAGCATTAATCATAATTAGATTGTTCCTCTAATTATATACATATTTTTTTATATACTCTTTATAGAATTATTACAATTGAAGATGTAAATACTATCACATACATAAAAAAATAAAAGAATACAAACAAAACCAAAATTATATATAAATATATATATATATACATAAATATTTTTAAATTTACATTTTAAAGTTAAATTATCATTACTATGTAATTTCAAAAACTAAAACTTATATAAATCCAAAAAGCATAGTAGAAAAAAATAAGTGAGTATTTTATGTCACAAAATTTAAATACGATTTCTACAAAACTTAATATTTCTGTTGAATAGAATAATGAAAAGTTTTTTTTATTATAGTTTATAGACATGATTTAGTTCTAGATTAGAAAAAAATACATGTTTTTTTTAATACACATATGTATAATTATTTTGCTAAAACTTATGGAATATAACATTTGAAAGAGACACAATTTATTTTTTAGCTTGTACATCATCAGAGAATGTATGGAAATATGAACACTTAATAACTTCTAGCAATATATTTGAGATAGTAATTAATACATAGTTGAGTAGCCTACTAAATCATAATATGGCCAACCAAACCATCATATGGCAGTTTTAGCCATTGTGCCCAAATGTCAATTACAAATTAAATTGCTAGTATTTTCACCCTTTAAAATCCATGATGTTAGATCATAAACTTTTTATATACAAACTTAAAACAATACTTATTATATGCATTAGTTTTCTTAAATCTTTGGTGTTGGAAACTAAATTTGTTTTCATTTACATTACTTAAACTTATATCCTATTGCAATGCATTCTTCATGATTTTCATAAGTAATGTTTTTTAAATATATTTAAAAAATATTACAAACTGTAATACAATAAAAAATAATATTTTCATAATATAATTCTATTTTTTACACATTTTAAAAATATACATTAACCTTTAAAAAATTATAAAAAATATTATTATTTCTATTTACTTAACATTTTAAATAAAAACGATTATAATTAATAATAATATATTTTAATAATTCAATTAAAGTATAGTACTATGTTTATTTCTGAAATGATATTACATAGTAGAAAAAGACACATAAAAATTACCAGAAATTGACCATAAAATTGGAATTTTTGTCTTATTATCATCAATATAAAATATATATATATATATATATATATATTTTTAAAAATATTATTATGTTTATATTTTTTTAAATGTGGGTATTTTATTTGATACGAATTAAATTATTAAATTCATTGAATGGTTTACCATAAATAATAAACATGTTGTATAAATTTCATATATTTGAAATATTTTATTTTTTAGTATATTTTTTTGTCTATTCACCATTATCATATGTATATCTTTTACATTAAAAATTATTCAAAAAACATATCCAATAGAAAATTATTTGAAAATAAACCATTATCTCTAATAAATATTATAATAAAAAATAGCAAAGTAAAATCTATAGATAAATATAATATTATATATTTGTGAAAATTAATAAATTCTCTATTTGTCTATATATATTATTTTAATTTTAAAATTTCTATAAATACATGTGATTGCTACTCAAAATTCTTTAATTTTTAACATGGCACTATTATTTCTTTAAAAAATAATTGCATAGCATTGCAACTGTTGGTAAAATAATTCTACTGCCAAGCAAATACTACTCTACATGCTTCATATGCCAACATCTTAAATGCATTTACATCTCAAGGAATCACACCTATTGCTTGCATGGCAACTGCACTCCAATTTCTGTAATTTTTTCATTCACTTATAAAGCCATTTGAAGGCATCACCATTTAAGGTCGACTTTCCATTTAAATCAATTAAACCTCAATTACACCAAGGTTGTGATTGATTCTCAAATAACACCTTTCTTTCATTTAGTCTTGTTATATTACCTTTATTTATTTATTTATTTATTTATTTATGTTTTATGTTTTATTTTAGTCCTTAAAATCATTTAATGACATCCAAGAATATATATATTCCTCATAAAAAAATATTTAGGTGACATCCATGAAATCTCAAAGTATCTTGGTAGATTACTTGCAAATTTAGAAAACTACATAATAACTGTATATATTAATAAAAACACATTTATCTTTGCTTTGGGTTTGGCCTCCAAGATTTTATTTTCCATGTTTTTATATTTATTCAATACCAAAATTGTAAAGTTATGGTTTTTGCATTTACATATATAAATATATTTTTAGTTTTCAAAATGTATATGTGTATAACTTGTTCATATCATTGTTAAGTTTATTTTTTCATATGTTTGAGGTATTTAATTCCAGTTCTATTCTTTTGTCTATATAAGCTTATTTTCGAAGCTTAAACTACTCTGAAAAATCACTATTTTTTAATAATTAAAAGTTTCGGTATTCAATTCCTAGTTAATTTGAATTTGGAATAAATTTCAAGAAATTCCAAACCCGCACTGCATATTCAGAATTAAATCTTTTAGAACAAATTCCCTTTTAAAAAGATAGATTTTCAAAAATTCCCTTTGAAAACTTTAAAACAAGAGCCAACTTCCTTTCTCTAAAAGCCATCCATTCAAAGATTTCTATGACAGAGAAAAAAGTTCAACCAATTAGTAAATTTCAAGGACACACACCAAAAGGTTTTGTATATGAGTATGAATCAAAAAGATTGTTTTACTATTTTTTATTTTGAAAACCTCATAATATAATATAGACAATAATAATAATAATAATAAAGTTAAATGATATTTAAATTGTGTTTACAAAATTATTTAAATTTATTACTATTATATACATAAGTGAAGCCAAATCAAAAACTTGTTCTGAATTTTGGATATTTCCGTGGATAAATATAGACAAACATACATAGATAAAAAAACATGTACACATACATATTTGTGCATACATGTGGAGATTTAAATAGACTCAATTCCACAAAAAATATGTATGTGCATGTATATATGTGAAAATATACATGCATATATATATATATATATATATATATTATTGCTAATTCTATCACAATTTTTCCTAATGCAACTACAATTTCTGTTGTTTCCATTACAATTTTACTATCCACCATAGTTTTTTCTATTGTCACAAAAATCATATTTTTATTAAAATTTTAAAAAATCAAAATAAAAGTATATAAAAAACATATTTTAAATAAGATTTTTTGAAGAAATATATTGAATTGGTTGTAGGTTGTGGTGAGAATAGCAAAAAGTATGATGACATGGGATGGATGATACAGTATGTTGTCATTAGCAACACTCTATATGCATATATACATATAATTTAATAAATTATCAGCTCTAATTCTCAATACTTTTTTTATAGATGTCTTGAGAGGACTATTGTTACTATTTCAAGATTTTATAATGATTATTGTGAGAAAACTCAATCAACAAAAAGAATGAAAAGTATAAAACATCATTGCATTGTACAATTTCATTTCTCGTTTTTTATGAATTTATGAATTTAAATTTGTTTTATTTGTTTTATTTCTTTTTGTTACTTGATAAAATTTGATGGATTTTACATACTGTTTCATACAAGTATTAACAATACCACAATTACATGTTTATAAGAATTGATCCAAAAAATGATAACACAACATACATCCTTTTAAAATAACAAGTGTATTAAATGGTCTTAAATATGTAAAAGCATTTCGTTTTTCCAAATTGTCATTCAATACTTTTCACTTGAATGCATCCATATCTTGACACAAGGTTTAATGTTCTTGAAAATCCATCTCACAATTGCAATGTCTTATACAATAAAGTTTTACAATGAAGATGGTTACAATATTAGCATTTGAGATGCCATAAACATGAGAAATGAACAGAATATAATAAAATTTGAATGTGAAGGGTGATCATCATCCAAATCCAATGAATGTAGTGAAGGTGTAAAGTAAACACAAAAGTGGGTATAGGGACAACAAGGTCATCAACACAAATTACACATGAAACATGTCATGGTGCAATGAACAAGTCATGGCTCAACCCAAACAGGGATGGACATGGTTTGCCATTGGGTTGCCAGCTAAGCCAATACCATGAACAATTAATCTGGGATGCAGAATTGGCATGGCCAAAGGAGAGGGAGGCAAGTTTCACATTCATGGGTGGGGAGCATGACAAACAGTAGGGGATCTACACACATAGAGGGATAGGAATATTAGGACCAAGCAACCCACAAAGCAAGAAAGAAACAAGCCCTAGGCACCCCATCCCCGACTCACACTTCACCCACCAACGAACGAACGAACGAAGTCGTCATACCCCCCCCCCCCCGACGTCGTTCCTCACCGGGACCAGCTCGACGGCAAGCTCTGGAGTTGTCGCATGGACGAAGAAAACAGGACGCTATGGATGTCGTCGGGGACGACGAGAACGGCGGACGAAGCAAGGGATATCGTGGAAGGGGGGGAGGGGGGGGAGATGTACTTACGTAGGAATTCCAGTAACCCCACCTCCTCCCCAACGACGACGACCCACGCAGCGCAACGCAACGCAACGGCCATGGCCATGGGAGGACGAGGAGGAGGATGCGAGGACCATGACGACGACGACGCTGCGGCGGCGGAGGGGCTGCAGCAGCAGGGGGGCGGGGGCCCCCGCAACGCCGCGGAGGTCATTGCGCAGCAGCAGGACAATCATGCCTGTCACAGTAATGCAGGACAGTAATTCGCGCGCGCTGTGGAGAGTCCTGCTGCTGCGCAATGAGGGACAGTAACCCTCCACAGCGCGCGCGAATTTGTCCAGCATCATGCCCGGATGGTTCTCCGAGATTAGTCCCATGTGGCCAGGTGCGCACCTGCGTGCCTGTGTGCGTTTCCCACCTCTCTTCATTACTGGAATGCGGCAGTGCTGTTGCGTTTGTTTGTTGGTTTGTTTGTTTGTGTCATTTCCAAAAGCTTTTGGTGTCTGGTTGGTTGTGGTGGTTCTTCGTCTTTTTCGGTGGACTTGTGGTGTGATGAAGTGGAGTGTTTTTTGTTTTTTGTTTTTGATTTTGTGGAGAGTTGTATTGAGCGGAGGAGGAGATTGAGCTAGAGAGTTAGCCAGTGGTGACGGATTGTTGCGCTATAGTTGTGCGTGGGTGTTGTGGGCCTGTAATTGAGAGGGATTTTGCGCTTCCAGGTGAGTATTTATGGCGAATTTGGAATGTTACTGGTTTATGTTGGTTCCTATGGAATCTATAATCGCGTACGTGTCTGTTGTTCTTCATGCATCACTTGGTTGATGCCATGAGTTCGGAATTCGACTACGCTAGGATGACATTGTGGGGCTTTTTAGCTCCACTTTTCTGGACGCTTGAGTGAATTCTCTGTAATAATTAGGTTATTTGGAATTCAGGAAAATTAAAATTGCGATTTGATTGAGTTTCTTTGGCGTTCTTTTTTGTCATGAAGTAGCACAATGCTAATTGCACCCCGTAATTAAAGCGAAGCATAAATTTTACTTTTTCGCAATGTTCAAATTTTGTTAGTGAAGGCTTCGTATGTCTTTGCACGATAATCTGCTAGAGGATTCTCTGAATGTGAAGATCTCTTCACTTGGTCATCGAAGTGCTATATTCGACAACGATAGTGGGGAAGCTCGTTGCTTAGTTGTGATCTACACCGCAGTGACTGTTGAATTTCTGCATTTTTTGATGATTTAAAATTGATCAGATATATAAAATTTACCTCTGCAACTCTTACTGGCTTCAGTACGTTGAGCTGTCTAGACTAAAATTTATGTGGTGTGGCTACATTTCTTTATTATGGTGCCAACTAAATCTGTTGCTTGTGCGAGGCTTTGTAATTTTTACAAACTCTTTCGCTGAATTTTCACTCCACTGAATTCCTTCTGAACTTTTGAATACGCCAAATGACTGAACATTGTAGGGCTTTCGATCAAGCCAGTGCTCTTCTTTTTGGTTGGCTCGTTGAACCCTTGAACTCGAATTCTCGAAAATTGGTGGCTTGTTAACGAGTTCATGATACTTGTGAAGCTCACACCGTAAACACATTACACATCTTCTGTTCAACAGATAGTAAATAATGTGACCGTTGGTAGACTTGAATGTGTAACATCTAATGTAGGTTTTTCGTCTCTTTCTCTTGTGGTATAGGTGTAGCGCATTCTCTGAAGGTAGAGAAATTTTTATTTGAGGGCAAGTCCAACTATCGAGACGTTGTTGCTTTTGAGATAAGCCACAAAAATTAATGGAATGAACTATGCTACTTATGTCTCAGTAATGACCTTACATGCTCTTGCCTGTGACGGTAAGAAATCCGTACTTGCGATACGTATTCCGCTTAAACCCTTGGTAGAGGCTGTTGAAGGTCCTGCTTGTGAATGAGTACTTTGATTTGTGAAGCATTTGATCGAAAATAAGTGGATGGTATATATATATATATATATATATATATATATATATATATAATGTGTCATTTACAGTTTTTACTGTGGATTCGAAAATTGAGATCGTATAATTTCTGAAATTTTCCACTGTTTCCTCAGTCAGCTACCTATGGAAGGGTTCTCGTTCTGGACGGCGTGATTCAGCTCACTCAGCGCTATGAGTGCGCTTACCAGGAGATGATTATCCATCTTCCTCTTTGTTCAATTCCGGACCCTAAGAAGGTGGTCTTCTACATTTTGATTTTGGTTGAAGTTGTCAAAACATTGTGTGTGACTTGTGGTAATCATTTAAGTCGTGTGGGAACTATGCGCTGATTATTGTATTGTTTTGAGCTTCAGTCTTTTGAACAGGTGTATACAATTTCAGTGACATGTTATGATGTCCTTGTTTTGAAAGCAGGTGCTAGTTGTTGGCGGAGGTGACGGAGGGGTGCTGGGGGAGATTGCTCGACACAAGTCTGTTGAACAGATCGACATTTGTGAGATCGACAAGTTAGTTGTCGATGTGAGTTGACTTCCCTTCTAATTTAATGGCTCTGTTAAGATCGTGGTTGCTTTGTCCTTGTATTATGTAGAAGTAAGAGTACGCTGAAGTTAGTTTCTGACGAAAGACTGTGCTTGGTAACCACAACCCTCCTACACACTGTACATACACACGCACACACAAAAGAAAAGAAGAGGAGAAGAGAAAAGGAACAAATCTGATATTGATTCACTCGCAGGTAGCCAAAGAATTTATTCCTGATGTTGCCATAGGATTCGAGGACCCTCGAGTGAACCTTCATATTGGAGATGGTACGATGAAGCTGCCGTTTCACTACATTAATCAACATCGACATTGATTTGTGAAGGCATTTTTTGGATTTCCATCAAACTTTATTTCGCTAGGTCATGTAAATGCAGCTCATGATTGTTTTGACGCGTGATGTTAGAGAAGATCTCGCTTGAATAATGTCCAGAGTACCTGGTGTTAAATGATTTGGAATCTACACTCGATGTATTACATGATAGTAGTCTCTGCATTCTAGGAGGTGTTGATTAAACGGCCTTGCGTTTGCAACAGAACATTTAATTTGCCTGATTTCAAGTTCCTCATGGTTCACAACTTCGCGAGGATAGGGTGATCATGTATTTTCTTGTGTCAGTGGAATTGAATGATGGCTAGGACAAAAACCTAATCTAATGGTGATTTTGTCTGCAGGAGTGTCATTTTTGAAGGCGGTTCCGGAGGGGACATATGACGCCATCATTGTTGATTCTTCTGATCCTGTTGGTGAGTTTGGCCCTACTTTGACCAAGTGATTGAAAATGTGCCTTCTTAGAGGGAAAAGTGATAAGTGTTGCCAAGTCATGCAATTTCAATTTTTGGGGACTTATTAGTCAGTTAATAGAGTTCAAAGAGTTACTCTTCTTCTATGGATATTCAGTATTTTTTTCAGTATGGTGGTATAGGTCGTGCTCAGGCATTGTTTGAAAGGCTATTTTACAAGACATTGGATTGAGCACTGCGACCAGGAGGTGTTATCTGCACACAGGCGGAAAGTCTTTGGCTGCATATGCGTATTATCAAAGATATTGTAGGAGCTTGTCGTCATTCCTCCAAGGGTTCTATTAACTATGCTTGGACTAGTGTTCCAACCTACCTAAGGTGAATTAATCACCGACCCTGGAGAGTTTTTTTGCGGCAGGAATGCAAGCTTTTGCTATATACATCTAACTGTCCCAAGTTCTACAATTCATCTGTCAGTACTTCCCTGCTCTTCATTTGCTACTTGTGTGGCGCATTTCATGTTGTGTGGATTTATGTGCAGTTGCTGTATGCCTCAACTAGTTGATCAGAGAAATGAGAATGTACTTCATGAAATCTACAGTGTGAAAATCACACATGTTCACTTCAGAGTCCTGAAAGTCTTGACGTGTTGTTCGGTGGTTGCCGATGGCAGATGCACGCGGCAGCATTTTTTTTGCCTCAATTTGCTAGGCAGGAATTGGAGCATTTGCTTACACCACCTCCATCTTAAACGAGACTCCAATGTTTTATGCTTCATCCAGTTCCTAGTGCTCCGTGATAGGGTAGAAGCACAGGTGAAGAAGACCTTGTATGAACGGCAGCGAGGTTATTTTTCAATAAATTTGCTTGCTGCATACTTCCATCTACATTGTGATGGGAAAGGAGAACGTTAAGATCTGTTCTCTCCAAATCTTTTGGTTCGGCTCAATGAAGGCCACTGGTTTATTAAAGCCAATTCTTGGCTATGAAGTCGGAGATTACGGGTGTGTTTTTTGGTTTCCTTGCATTTTGACCAATTTTGCACTCCTTTTTTATGGCGTTTGATGCGAGAGCATAAACACCTGATTGAACGCCTCATATTCTGTTTCCATATCAATACCGCTTCATCGAAAGATGCCTCCGAATCAGCGGCGTAATCCAACATTGTACTTTATTTAGACGCTCTAGCCATGATTATCACAAGTTTGTATGTACACTAAATATGATATTTATGGTCTGCACTGTTCTAATTGCACTTTTGCAATGGTCACCAACAGAAGTTGGAATTTACAATGAATTACTGCTAGGTCTACACTCGAAAATCACAGATAATTCCTCAGATGAGAAATTTAGAGAAAACCAAAAACTGCAGCGAGCATCAACTGTTGAAGCGTTATAATTTGGGACAGTCATACATTTTCTCGAGGAAAAAGAATTATACATCAAACCATAAACCATCGGATTCGTTTTATTCTACGATAAGTGATAACCATTTTACCGTGATTCAGTTGCACAATTAACACCGGTATCACTTGTATCAAATTGTAATTCTGAGCAGAGTATGTGCGGCGTGTCAACAGAGCCTCCACACTCTTCAAAGTCATTCACAAACTTGGGGCTCCGAGAGATGGCGGACATCGTCAACGCAAGCTGATGGCCATCGAAGGTTTCGATGAATCGGTCCTTGAGTCTCATTGTGTGTGTGTGTGCATGACCCAGTAATAAGCTGATGCTACTCTGGCTCCGGAAAGTCTGACGAAAGCTAGCTGGTGTTGCATGAATTGAGCAAAAAGTTTCGCCATTCAAATTTGCGAAGGATTCTTCCACATTTTAAGTCGCTTCCGGAGTGAAACGTGAGTCCACCGACAGGTTTATACCCGTAGAAAAATTGGTTTTCGCACTCGGAACCGACGGCATGTTGCACAGTGTTGTCGAGTTCTTCATGGGATAGATGATGAATCTTTTCTCGGAGGTAGCCTTTCTTTTTGCGGGTTTTGGGGCTACGGTTCTCGCTCATTCCATTGCGTGTGATGTCCTTTTGACTTTGTGCGCGTAGGAGGGAAAACACATTAGAATGGCAGATCATTAGCTTCTGTTATCCTGCGTGAACAATGCGTCCATGGAGCTCGGTGTGTGGGTTGTAAAAAGCGGGGTTCAGGAGCTTGGGTTTGTGATTGTGTGTGGTCCCCTGTTGGATTCATAGTGCTAATGCTGGGGTTAGGATGGAGTGGTGTTTCGAGTTAGGGTGGCGGAATTCGGTGGAAAGTGTAATGGGTCTAGTTTGTTATTAGGGTTTGGCGATTGAAGCAGTTTGGGATTTGGATGCTGCAGATTGTTCATGATCTGATGTTAAGGGAGGGCGACGAAGACGGGAGCTGGAATGTGAGGTTGTGTGATTTAAAGGATTGAGGATTTCTTGTGGGGGATTGGGCTGGGATATGTGAGTGGCTCACCGGTAGAAAGCAAGCATGGAGGCTGCGATGGATATAATGCGTAGGATGCCACCGTCCCTGTCGCAGCAGGCATTGGACTCACTGTTGGCGTTGTTACCAGCTCATTCATCGGAGCTTCTTTCTCGGTCTGACCAGCCTCTTCAGGTCCCCCCACCTCCGCTCTTCTGATCATGATCTTCTTTCCTCTTCCCTCTTCTTCGTATATATTCATTTGTTTTCATGTTTTCGTGACAATCGTAATGAGTTTTGTGTAGGGGAATATGTTGCTAATTAGGTCAAGTCTTGTTCGGAGTGCAGGTGGCTTCGGATGAAGAATTTGATAAGCATTATCTTCTCTGCGATTACAACCGTGATGGCGACTCGTATAGGTCCTTTGCTGGCTGGGCTCTTTACTTGGTGTGGTTGAATTTTGGTTGCGAATCCCGTTGTGTTTGCATTATCTTTGTACTATGTTAAATGTATTCTATTCCCATTGTGCCACTTCGAAGAATTTTTCTTCTGTAATGTGTTTATTGCCACACTCAGATCGCCGTGGTCGAGCAAGTATAAGCCGGAGCTAGAGGATGGTGTCCAGCCACCCGCTGAGTTGCGGAAATTGGAGCAGGAAGCCAACGAGGTTTTCAGCATTTATCGTGACCAGTGAGGTTCTCAACTCTCATTCTCTTGTCATGCATAACAATTGCCCTTCGAAATCTTGATCTGGACAGTTCGTCTCTGACTTGGTCAGAGCAAGAGCACCAAGCAAGAAAGGTCTCACGAAATATAGTGTCCTCTTTGGATTCCACTTACCATTCGAGGAGTGGCGGTGGAGTCTCAAAGCTGGGTGCTACTTCTTTAAATAGTTTACATGCTGACTTGGGTTGGTATTGACTCTACAGGTACTATGAGGGAGGTGTATCTTCAGTTTATGTATGGGAGCCTGAAGATGGAAAAGGTTTTGCAGCTTGTGTTTTGATCAAGAAAGGTATTTATTTTGATCTTACTCCAAATTTCTATGTAGTTTAATGCAGGAGCGGTTTTATAAAATATCTTTGGACGAATTGCCGCTTCCTTAACTTCTGAGGCAAAGAGTTATTAGCGTGAACTATGTAGTTTCCGACTGCCCACATTTCATATGGGACTGCGACTGACACACAGACAGTAGAGACTTCGCTTCTAAACAGTATATGGTTCCTAGAAGTTAGACCCCAGTAATTTATACCCACCATGCATTTGGTATTCGCACTAATAGGTGATTTTTTGTGCACTGACCAATCATAGGATGTAGCTGCTCAATCAAGATCGTCAGTGTTTGTTATGTGTTCATGAATGCGTTGAACAAGTGCTTACATTCGATGATGGTTGTTGCAGATGGGTCTGATGCTGGAGATGGTCGACGTGGTCTTTTGCAGGAAGGATCTTGGGATGCTATTCACGTAATTGAGGCAAGAATTGGGGTTTTTTTATGGGATTGTAGATCACATATTACGATAAATTCTTATCAAATTCATTTCTTCTTGTTCTCAAATTCTAGATTTGTGTCTTGTAGTCCTAAGTAAACATCCTGGATGATTGCTGTACACACGTTGTCAGATTGGTCTGGCATTAATGTTCTGTATCACTTTGGTCGTATGATTCAGGAGATTTGTGTTGTAGGAGTGACTGACTTTTGTTTCTAGACTTATAGTTTGGTGTGTTGAATATCTGCGTTGGAGGCATGACCATCATGATGTCAGTGGCAATCTAAGTATTTTCTAGCATAATTTGAAAGACATGGGAAAAACCCATATAAGAAATAAAAAATAAAATCATTCTTTGTTTGATGTTCAGTGATGGCGAAACGATATTACGCCTCACACATCGCTGTAGGGATTTAATATATTTCTTTTATAAGTATATTATCGCTTTCCTTCTTTGTAATCGTGAGTAATCAGACAACCGGGGGGTTCAGGTTAAAGAAGATCAAGAGCGTCAATTTGGCCATTATTGTCTTACGAGCACTGTGATGCTGGCTCTAACGACTGCGAACCAGGCAACTGGCCCATTCAGTTTGTCAGGTTCCATCACTCGGCAGGTATAGTTTCTGTGATGATAGTGCTTGCCGTAATGTAATTTCGTCTTGTAAGATTTATTCACAAAAAGTTCGTTCAAGGTATCTTTGTGAAGCGCTGTGCGTGTTTTCACAACAACAATTGAGGACAAATATACTGATCATCTCTCTGGTGGCAGATGGAAACAGATCTAGCACTTGAACATGGACATCTGTGTAACATGGGACGGTTGATTGAGGAGATGGAGAGCAAGCTGCGCAATGGATTGGATCAGGTACTCGAACATGCAAATCAAGTTTCTGATTTCTTCCACTGTTGTTTAGGTGTTTCGCATCTCCTGATAATTTAGTTTTCTTTTCGGTTGTGCACACCTTCCAAATTGGCTGCGATGATCTTCTCAACACTCAGCTTTCTTGCGAAATGTTTATTACAACATGTAAATTTTTTGAAACACTTCGGTATTCTGTCGATAGAGAAGAGAAAGTTAATGGAATTGGTTGGATCTCTGGTCTTACGCTTTGTTCCACTGTCTGGATAAAATTCTCTTTTGGTGGTTGACCTATCAACTGTAACCAACTTATATGTTTTTTTTAATATCTGTAGCAGAGTCAGATCTGTAACCTTGGTGTGACAATTAAGAAGAGTAATGCTATAATCTGTAACTCCTTTTGAATAGGTTTATTTCGGGAAGACGAAGGAAGTGGTATTTACGTTGCGAGAACCGCTGGGGGTCCTAACTGCCACTTCTCACATCGGACAAAGTTTACAGCGACGGATTGTGAATGATCTTGGGCGCTCTCGTTGACAAACCGAAGATTATTATCACCTGAACCAGACATTTTAGAAGTGGGTTTATCAGTTATTCATGTGCATATCCTAACTGTAAGAAGTGCTCTTTAATCTTTGGAGTCCTTGTCCACTCTACGCAGGTGATAGTAGAGATCTCAAATATTGATGGACAGGATATCTAAGCAAGGGACGTAGAACCTGGCCAGTATCAAATCCGGTCAGTTTTAATCTATGTCGAAGGTGTTAGTACTAATTTAGTGAAGTAGAAGCTCATCCTTTTATAATGACCATAATCTAGCCCTGAGCCTATCATCTTGCTTTTGTGTATAGTCATGTAGATTTGAAATCAATATGTCCCTAAATGTAATAAGCTATGCTCGGCAAGACTGAGGCCCATTCATTATGTTATTTCTGTGTTCCTCTGACTTCAATGTCAGTAACTCGCTGATACTTTTGCGTTGTCAACGATGTTGAAGTGGAAAACAAATGATCTGGTTGTGTATTGTATCCCATCAAAATGCTCATGATAATGGCATTACTAATTCAGGTATCTGACATTTACCATATTTAACTCAAGAAATGTTTGCAGTGTTGCCTATTCTATTATGCATTATTCTTACTGTTCATTGTTAGTGATGTATATGAGTGTGTGTATATATATATATATATATATATATATATGTATATGCAAATAAATAAATAATCTGAGCATTGTTTTGTATTATAGTTATCTGCAAGTTGCATACAAAGACTCGATTATCAAACATAAGTGTTATCCAAAGGAAAATAAATATTTAATACGTATACGTGTATACTTTTGCAAATTTTTGCATCCTAATTTTAAATTTCTGGCATGTTAAGGTTTATTTCGATCTTTGTAAATAAAATCTGAATAGGTGAATTAAATTTTCAGATTGTTTACTTAAGTTCTTTTTGCGGAATCTTAATTTTAACATTGGAGATCATTGCAACTCCCATTATAGCAACTTATGTACTCTCTCCCTACATGTTCTAAAATGTGCTTTAAATTAGTCAACAAATATCTCTTTGTCGTTAATTTTTTTGATTAGAAGCAAGATGTATTTCACTTTTTATATATGTGTATTTAGTTCGTGTTTTCATACCAATGAAAGTAATGGCATGATTGTTTAACGTCTGAGTTTAAATATGTATAATATTTTTTTTGAGGAAGTGTTACATGATGAAAATCATAGCAAACTGTTGAATTTCTGCTATGGATTGAGTGAAGGATGCAGAATTGGATCCAACGTAATATACATTGTTTCAAGGAGAAAGAAAAAAAATGAAAATTTTCACTTATTTTTATTTCTACTAACATCAAAATTTGGCCTGGGAAGAAATAAATATATAAAAAAAAGTTCAAACCCTATATTTTAAAATTGATAAGCTGCTCCAACCTAATATTGCCTTTGTTTTTTTTTACACCTGCAAATCTACAACAATCATTTTTATTTGTTACAAGACATTGATTTTTTATTTACTTTTATTGATTCTTACACCGTTTATAAAAAAAACCAATCGTAAAAATAATCAATGAAAAGTTGATGTTTGACAGAATTGAATTTTTCATGGCTTTATATCCTCAATATAATCAATTTAACACTGGAATTCAAGTAGGGTGCTCAAATTGTAAGAATTGTCTAATTGAGCACATGCCGTTTTAACATGTATAGTTCTCAAATCAAATGAGATAGGAACTATACATAAACAAAAATTTGAAAATGTAAAATATAAAATAAAATAAAATAAAATGGTAATGTGATAAACAATATCATCAAGAATAGATAAAACTTTTATTGATTAAATTATTCAATAAAAAAAAAAAGAAGAAGAAGCTATACAGATGAAAACGAGTTAAGTTATAATGAATTTAAGGAAGTTATAAAAAAGGAAAAACATGGAACTTCAAAACAAAAAAATTAGAGATGCAGCTGACATTGCATCTACATCCCTATTTGCATCTCAAAATATTTATGATGATCATATCACACAAGGTTCTTCGACAAACATGAAAAGTAATACAATTGATATTAAAAGTTCAAGAATTGTTCATCATTTAGAAAATAAGAAGCAAGAAAATGAGTTTTCTCTCATGCCAGTAGGAGAAAAATCAAAATTTTCACAAGACCTAAATAAAAAAAAGTTGAACAACTCCATTTTAAGACAATATATAAAAAACAAACAATTTCATTGTACACATTGCATTGGATGTGGAAGCATTATTTGGAACAATGAACTTCAATCTCAAGATTCTTCCGCTCGTGAGAAAAGAAATAGTAATAGATCTTCATGTTGGAATTTGTCTCCGCAACCATTGAGAAATGTGTATGTGTGTAGTAAGAAGGAATCAAATAGTGAAAGTCCTCAAAACATAGATTCAAAAGAGACTTCCTTAAATTCATATGATAATGAATCAAACACCATGACACAAAATTGTTGGTTTTATTGTCCCCTAGGTAGTACAAAAAATGATTATCAACAATTAATAGAATATAAAATCCATGAATATAATAGAGGAAATGATTGTATTACAAACAAATCGAATGTAGATTTATTTTTGTCCAATTTCCAAGAAAATGAATTGAAGAATACCTCACAACTTTCAAACAACAATTTTTCAAAATATAGACTACAAAATTTTGAATTTGATGATGAAATTGATAACACTAAGTTGAATAAATGTAAGAGAACTATGATTTTAGAAGTAGAAGAAGATGCAGAAGGTAGTTATCATTTTCCGTCTAATAATACCTCACAACAAAAATATTTAATTAAAATTGAAATTATCGTGGTTCAAAAAAACGATTCTACTTGTGGCAATTGTTGTTTAGGAGAAAATTTGTTAAATAGTACAATCACAAAAAATTCGTTTTTGAGAGGTGAAGAGGATATATTCACTCTAAATGATAAAACTTTTATAAGTTGTGCTTCATCAAATCTTGGATATGATACTCCATCTTATCAAGAAAATGAGAATGAAAAATTTTTAGATGTCAAAAAAAATGAATCTAGTATTACGATTGATGATTTTGAATCAAATCTAATGATTCAAAGTCAAGATTCTATAGTTAAAAATAAGGATATCTTCAAATGGAACACATCAAAACAAAATAGTGACATGCCAAAACCAATATTTATACATGAAATCACATCCATTCCGGATATATCAAATCTAGAATTGGTATTAGAAACTTGTAGAGATGAAAAAATGTTAAACAAAAATTTAATCATGAAAGACCAAAGCCAATGTGATGGTTGGAGCCCAATTTCTACAAGGTTTTTTGAAAATGATTCAGAAAGTGAAAATACACAAGACTCTGAAGATTCTAGTTATTCACAAAATGGTGTTTTGTTTGAAAATGAATTAATATCCATTCCTACACTCTGGTCAAAATTTATCACAAGAGAAGACTTTGAAGAAGAAAATGAAATGAATGATTGTGGGTATTCAATGTCTTCTAACACACAACGATTGTTAAATAAAAATCACCAAAAAGATGGAAGCAAATACAACAACGATAATGTTGGTATGATTGAAAACAATATAACAAATGCTTTAAATATAAGTGAAGAGCATAAAAGTGTAGAAACACCCACAAAATTAGTATCAGAAAACCATCAAGATTTTGCATCAACTAATAAATTTGAGCTGGGAAAACAAATCATAGAAGAATGTGATTTTGTATCATCTTCTGTTGAAAACCATACATTAAGTGATATTCTTGTAAAGGAAGAAAATGATTTTGTTAGCGCAAGTGATTTTCAGGAAAGCTCTGATGAAAAATTAAAAAAAATAGAAACATCAACTTTTGTATCAAATATGACTAAATCTTTTGCTTTAGATGATATTGATAAAGTTCTATGTAATCAAATACCAAATCAAGGGCATGACATTGCTCCATTTACAAGAGCAAGTAGAATAAAATCAAACACTTTGACTAGCAATGAAGAACAAATCAACTTTTTGAAAAACAATGACATGTATACAAATAAAATTGTATTTTTAGATAAAGTAAACGTTTCAACTTCATTATTTGAGAATGAGAATAAAGATGTTTGTGAATCAGATTTCGTCCCTTATAATAACAGAATAATGGAAAGACGTAGCTGTTGGCCTTGTTTGAATCTTAATGAAAGTAAGTTTGCCATGTTCAATAAAAATAAGAAATTAGATTATAGCACAAATTCTAATTTTCAAAACAAGAAAGAAGTTTTAAGAGAATTAAAAAACTTAATGTCAAGATCTAAAGATATAAAAGATATGAACAATGGTGTAAATTATGAACATACTCCAAATCAAGGATGTGGTTCTTGGTTGTTGTTGAATTTTCCAATAAAATTTAAGAAAACAGATGTTAATGAGAAACAAGAAAATTTTATCATGATTGATAACACAAAAGAAAATGAAGAAAGATATTTATTGCAAAATAAATTTCAAAATTGTGAAATAGATGATAATAATAATAACTTATCTAAACTCACAATGGGATCAAAGCAAAGCAATAACATTTGCGGTCAACAAAATTCAAAAATTAAATCAAGTGAATTACTAGAAAAGCAAGGAAATAGTTTGAAAAAACCCAATAGTATTGAAAATAAGAATTATTTCTTTAATGGTGGGTTAAGTAAGACTTGTAATGGAAAATCTGCAAAATCATCACACTTTGAGAATGTCTACAGCAATTTGAACAAAAAGAAAAATAGAAATCTTCATTTGAATTTACAAGCAATAAGTTCATCACAAGACCTTCCACATTTAAGTTATAATATAATCAATGAAAGAAAAAAGAAAAACATGTTTCAACATGAACTTGAATCAAAAGAATCATTAGAATCAAATGAAAGAGTTGAACACTGTGATTCATTTTCAAAGAAACAAAACATGTTATTGAACTTAAATCAGCATAAAATTTTAAAAGAACAAGCTAGTTATGCAAAAAACAACTCTCATGGTATTTTAAGCAAAGACAAAATGATGCAAATCTTAAATTTTGAGAATGTTCAAAGCCAAGAAAATGATTTAATTGATGATGTTTTTTTTGAATCACAAGTGAATGATACACCAAAAAAAGATTCACCAATTGAAACCATAACAACAAAAGATAAAAGTCAAGATAGTACTTTAGTGCTCCAAAATTTGAATAATGAAAAAAATAAAACAATTAATGAACATGTAGATTTAATTTCTAACACAGAAGAAAAAGCTCAAGAAATAGATTCTACACAATTTGTGGTTAAAAAAGAATTAAGCAACTATTCAATAACAACTTTCTGGGATACTTCATTAAAATTCAGAAAAAATGATAAACATCTAAAAGAAAAACTTCAAACAAGTAACATGCATGAGATGTCAAAACTCATAAAAGATAATAATCATTCATCATCTTTGAAATGTTTAGATATAAGATGTTTCAATGATTGTAACATTA